TCAGTCTCTTAATACCTCAACTCATTGTCGCTCTTAAGTCATAAAACAACACAAGAGCGGTGAAGGGACCTTTTAAAACGTTTATTAAAAAGTCTGTGGAGAGGTGTTCTTGCTTTTGTTGCAAGAGTTATTTATTTCATTGGTATTTTTAGAAAGTCTGCAGGGCAACATCGTTACCATCATTTCATAACTATTAAAAGGACAAAACGTTGGCGACGAATTGGCTGTTTTTGGATTTTATTCATATCTTACTCTTAAAACTAAGGCAGGCAAAACTAAAGATCAAAACACGCATTACCACAATAAAAATTACTTGGTGTTTTCATGAAAAGTAGTGACATTAAACTATTGTGCAGTTGGACCTATCTGAAATCCCCTTGAGGGTCTCTCCCCTGTGAATACCACTGTATTAAGTTTCTGTTTGGTGAATTATATGGTGTCTTCACTGCATTTTATATCCCACTCCCTCCCCCCCAACACACACACACAGATGGTCAAAGGTGACATAGTGCCTTTTAATGTAGTACTCCATCGAACACATGACATTCCCTTTTCTCCTGCTTTCACTTTATCTTTTATCACAGTCTTTGTTTTCAATGGAGTCTGACTCTCATTTCTCCATTTTATCTTACTACAGTGAAATTTGAACGGGAGTTCAGGTTTTGGATTTGTTAGTTGGAAAAATGATGTGGGCATTAGACTTTCAGTTTATGAATGCAATAATTCGACGACACAAAATAACACACTTATTAAAATGCATACTTATCGAAAAAATGTGACTGTTCTCTGAGATTAAAATAGCAAATTTACAAGAAACAAACGCTTTTGTTACTAAATGCTCTGTGGTCTATTAAAACAAGGGTATACAGATGTCAATAACAGCCATCACACATAAGCTACATTCACCAACCGGTATTATGAGCTACATCCTTCTGTAGCATAAAAAGCATAAAAAACTGCAGACAATTTAAAATGACTAAGATGTGACACATGCTTTCAAGTGGCTTTGCTGCAGTCTCATCTTGTCTCTTATGTCCGCACTTACTCTCGTCTTGACTCTATAATGACAGGAAAAAAACTTTGTTCTCCTAAATTTACTACTTAATTTTACTCTTAATATCCTTGTTTTTTTTTTTCTCAGAAATGTATGACTTTTTGTATGAGTTCTTTCTCGGAATATTACTCTCCTCCCAGCTGACCTGTAATTTATTTTGTATTTTTATCTAAAATGGCCACAGTACCCCATCGTATATATATTTTATAACTGACCATTCATTTGAAAGTGAGGAATTGAGGGAAAAGTTGAGGGATTACCGTAAATGTTCACTTTAGTTGTTAATTGCTTTGTATTGGAACTTCACAGTTAATCATTTACTTAGTGTAATGAACATGTGTCATTTGTATACAGGTGTTTTAATGTGTCTCCTGTTCTTCCAGGAGCTCTGACTGAATGTTATGATGAACTGGGGAATCGTTACCAGCTGCCAGTTTACTGCCTCTCTCCTCCCGTCAACATGATTGAAGAGCACTCTGAGGAGCCTGACGGTTCAGATCCAGACTCCGGGGCCGCAGACCCATCTACGGGCAGCGGCAGCGACCCTGGCTCAGGAGGAGAGTGCCAGCTTCGGCTCCGGCTCTCCACAGGTCGTGACCTCCGGCTATTGGTCCGTTCCACAGACACAGTGGGCATGATGAAGCGGCGTCTGCAAAGTCACGAGGGCGTGCCTGCCACAACCCAACGCTGGTTTTTCTCAGGTCGGCCACTGACAGACAGGCTGCGCTTGGACCAACTCAACATCTCCAGGGACTATGTAGTGCAGGTCATCCTCAGCCAGCCGCCAGAGCCGGTATCAATACCAGGACACACACAAGATGCCTCTGGGCCAGTGGCAGTGGAAGGAGTGGCTGCACTGCCACAAGAGCCTGTGGAGAACTAACTCCCCCCCAACCTGGCAGCCTGGAAGTGGGCGTACCAGCAGGCTAACAGCATAAAGGAGGATAACAAGGGAGAAAAAAGAATGAAATTCTCTTCCCTTCTCTTCTCTTCTGTTCTCTTCTGTAGTTGTTTTTGCTGGGAAGGGCTTTGTTTGGGCAGAAGATGTCTGTCGGAGCAAAAGGATTCTTAAATTGAGAAAAGACTCTTCCTTTTGATTTTACATGTCGAAATTTTGACCTTTTTGAAGTCTTTTTAACTGTTCCTATGGAAACCAAACAACAAAAGAGGACTTTGTCAGATGGCATAAAGGGTTTTCTTGGCAACACTGATGTTCAAATGTTTATGTGTTTCAGTTTCCATTCAAGTTCTACTCGCTGGCAAAGCTGGGTCAGCAGAATTCTGTTATGAGGCTACAGGGTTATACATTTATCATTTTGTTCAAAACAGCAGTTAGAGAGAAAGGAATACACATAGTTTAACAATCGTGACAGTTATTCAGGCAATTATTCTTAATTATATGTGAATCAAATCAAGAACATTTCCTCACTTGGAGATTAAGTCAGTATGCTAAGAGCTGTAAACAGTAAAGAGGTTGGAGTTAGGGGGCATGACAATGTTTTACCAAGCTGCCACTGGATTAGATGCTTTATTTCACTCTGCTTCACAGAACAATCAGAGCAATCATGTAATAAATATTAAGTAGTCTGTGTGTGTGTGTGTGTTTGTGTGAGAGAGAGAATAAGCGTGTGTGCGTGGATGTCCATAAATGTTTAAGATACAACCACACTTATTCATGTGGCAAAAGGATGGAACATCAGAAACACAGTTGCGTATTTTGATTAAAAATAGAATGTTTTTAATTAAAATTGATCATTGTTTCTATGTCTTGGTCTATTTTTTGCTTTGAATATTTGGTCAAAACAGAATGGCAGTAATTTACCATATGATCTCTTGCGATATACATTGAGATTTACTTTCTCTTGCAGTCTTTAAATGCCAGTTTAAAAACTGTAATTTCACCTCAGCAAAGAGAAACAAGGGACCTTATAATGCAGCGGATGATGTTATTTATACCACCAGTTGAAACATTATTGTCCTATTTTTAGGACAGATTTACCTTTTCCCTTACAAATATCAGGAAGTACTTTAAGTTGATTTTCTTGCAATAGCACACATTGCATGATGACCATTTCCTTGATACCATTATTATCTTGGGGTATTGTGTTTGATATTTTAACCACTTCCTCTCTGCGACTGGTGGACAGGCAGTTTAATTCCTTCCTCATTCCATCACTGGCTGAGTGACGTTTGATTAATTGTTCTCAAGCTGGGAATGCCAGTTGGCAGCACTCCTTTCAAACACAAGGCTTATCGTGGCTCCTCTTATGTAGAAGGCCTCTTTGCATCATAGTGTTTTTCCAGGAATTTTCCATGTTCTGTCTGGCTGGAATGAGTCGATTTAATAGAAGGAAGTTAAAATACAGAAAGAATAATTAGTGAGTGTAAGGCTTATCTCTGATTCTGGTCTTTATGCTAAGAAATGTAGCCGTTGGCTAAAGATTCATATTTAGCACATAGACATGACAGGATCATTCTCCTTATCAAACTCTTGGCAAGAAAGGGAATAAGTGTATTTCCCTAAATGTCAAACTATTCCTTTAATGTGCTGTAGTAAGAGATAATCTTGTCTCTCCTGTGGTTTGATCCTGCACACAATATGGATGGGAATTACAGAGTGAGTTAATAACTACTTTGTTGGCTAGTTTAATCTACAGCAATTCATCATATTTTATAAGATCATCGTGTGTTTGTAGCGTTGCTGTCCTCTGACAACCACGTATAAAAAGTCAACTTTTCATGAGCTCAGAAAAATAGCTTTGTGACGATTCCAGCTTATCCAAGGTTTTTTTAAATTTGTTTTTAGCAGTAGGATACTTTACTCAACCCATAAAGGTTGATGCTTCAGTTTATCAAAAACATTCAGAATTCAGAATCACCAAATTCAGAATCACCAAACATGGAGTTACATGGTTTTCACTGGACAGGAAGAGAATGAACAATTGTAATCTGAAAAGTAAATGTAGTGGAGTAAAAACTACAATATTTGCCTCTGAGATGTCAAATTAGTACTTAAGCACAGTACACGATTAAATATATTTAGTTACATTCCACCACAGAGTGTGTTAGGTTGGTGTGTTGAAGTTTTCGTTTTTGTGGTTTGTGGTAAGTGTATAGTATCAAAGTAAAAGAGCCACATACTAATGACAATGATGATTCAATACAAAGGTGATTTAGTTTGAAACCACAACTCACACCAATCTTGATCGTCATCTGTCACCTTTTTTTCAAATGCACATAGCAATGTTGAATCAAAAGCAACATTTATTGTAATTAGGTTAGTGGTGTACTTATAGGAAATGGTCTACTGGCTATCATGAAAGATACAGCACTACCATAGGTAAATGTTAGCTATGAGCTGAATGGAAACTCCTCCAAATCATAGCATAATAATAGGTACAGGTAACTTCCCAAATGTGTTATTTACACATATTTCCTTTATAACTAGAGAACAAAGTGTACACAAAACTAATACATGGTGTGCTTTTCTTTAGTTATGAAAGCTTTTCTCTTTTTTTTCATCCCAGTGACTCTATTCTCTTTTCCACTTCAATGGATGTGTCATCACTGACACTTTTGCTTTCTTGTTCTTCTTCCTGAGAACTCTCATGACCATTTTCCAGGGAACCTGTTCAGTTTTCAGTGTCACCATCCAACACTGTCATGTGCACTTGAGCTTTTCCAGTTCCCTCTCCCAGATGTTTGTCTCTTGTGCTGTTCCTGATTTCATCACGGTGGTCAGTGTGGTAATTGTGCACACAATTTCACAACAGAATATGGTATTGTATAAATAGTACTTCTGTCCTCAATGTGATGTCTGGGTAAACCAAGCTGAACAAAAGGTAACTGAGTCAGTAAATTAAATAACCCTGATCTGTTCCTCTGCTTTATGATGAATTGAAATTGACCTTTGGTGTTTCCAACAGATGAATGAGATCATGATCTCATATCATCATACACTCAGGTAATAACACACACACACACTCACACACACACACACACAAATTTGAAGTGGCAGTTCCTCTTCATGTTGGGAGTTTTCAACCTTCTGCTTCTGGCATACATAAATGCAGCTGCAGCATGCTGAGTTCATGCAGACAAACTAAACACACACTCAGAACAGTCATCACCTCACCTCTATTTTATGCTTAATAGATCAGTCCAGTCCACTTGTCAAGGTAAGATCTACTATACTTGCTCATTTTCTGTTTTCTCTGGGTTTTATTCAGTAGATGTTTATTGTAACATGTTGAGATGAACATCTGTTTCTAACACTATCTTCGGATACTTTTTTCAGTTGAAATTTCTTTCAATTTGATTGTTGGTTTGGAAAAAACAAACATTCTCAAAAATCCAGGTGATCTCTACGAAGGCAGCTGAATTTGATCATTGTCTCATTCAACTGGAAGTCATTTCCTCGCCGCATCATCTGAAATACTTTTACTTTAAGTCAACAAGTTAACTTAAACACTCTTTAAAGGTTGCTTTACTTCAGTAGTTGACAAAGATAAAAGATAAATCTGAAGGGGTCAGGACATGCTTAAAGGTTAAGTGTGTGAGATTTAGTGGCATCTAGAAGGGAGATTGCAAATTGCAACCAACTACTAGTCTACCCAAGTCTAAAAATTCTCCTGATGTGGGATCAAACACGAAACCTTCTAAGCCAGGGTCTTACGCTTTACTAATTGAGCTAACCAAACAGTGACATTCAGTTTAAATATAATGTCTTATGTTCCCACCGCCATCTAATAGATAAAACAATCTGCTCCAATGCAAAACTTTTTTGCCGACCCCTGCTGTGTATTATTACTTGTTGTTCTTCATCAAACATTCGTATTCAATGTAGTGATAAGCGTCGATATTGCCAGACTTCTACATGAAGAAACAGAACGTAGTGACGAAACGCACTTTGTAGAGCAGTTTGTCCGTTTTGAGCTATTGTAGAAACATGGCAGCGCAACATGGTGATGTCCGTGTAAGGGGGGGACCCTAAGGTAATAGAAACATAATGGTTCATTATGTAAGGTCTTTATACACCACTGAAAACATAGTTATGGATCTTATATTGCATTTCTGTCAATAAATCCTCAGAAATAATACACACTGGACCTTTAAAAGGAGAGGAAAGCAGATATAACATCATTCTGCTACACAAAAGTTATGCCTTTTTTTGTACTGGTTTTGTTGCTTTTTTATTGTAATTGTTAATTATTGTAATTTTACTTTTTCTTCGTACTAAAGAATATTCAAATAAAACAATGTCAAAAAATACATACAGGCAACAAGAGGTCAAAGGCAAAAATGTTGGGAACTACTGCTTTACTTCAATTTTGGGAGACTTTAAACTATACATTTCAGAGAAAACTATTGTACTCTCTACCCGACCACATTTATTTTAGGATGGTAGTTACATGTTACTTTTTCAGATGAAGTCTTTACTTTTAGCTTTAGAATGCAAACTTTTCAGCAACAATGAAAAATACAGTCATCATCAGTCAATGTTTCAGAAAATATACCTTCCTCTGTTTTATGTACAAGCCCCAAATGAATACCTGGTTATAAATGGATTACACAAGTTTGGTTCTAGTCCCTTTTTACTTATTATATGAACTTATTGTCCTTTCTTCCAGATGCATGCATTGTTCCTTATGGTCCTGTGTGCTGCACTGTCCTGTGCCAGCTCTGACAGCAACCAAGACAACATACAGACTCTAATGGATAATGGTTGGTACCTCCTCCTTTCTCTACTGAACATTCCTCTTCCTTCTACATTTGTCGCCTCACCTCACATGCAGTAAATGTTGATTAAAGCCGGTCTGTGTGTATGTGTGTTTGTTTCTTGTCCATTATTAAACTAGTTCTGGTCCTGAGGGTGCCTTATGGTCAGGGTACCAGGGTGTATGTTCCTCTGACCTGTGGAGAAGCTTATCAAGACCAGTCGGTGTTTTGGAAGAAAAATGGTAATACAACTCTTACTACTACTATTGATACTATTTCTACTACCACTAACACCTGTGCTAATGTGCTAGGTGCAATACAATATGATACGATACTACACAATGCTAATAAAAAAAGATTGCATTTTCTGCAAAAAAGTGAGTTTTTCTTTAGTCAGATGGCAAATTGAAGCACTGACGTTGTTGTTACTTTGACCTCCGTCCCTGTCTCAGGCGAGTCTCAGCCAGCTCTGCAAGGGAACCAAGTCAATGTCCTGGTAGAGGAGATGGATGGAGGGAACTACACTTGTCACCTCGGCCCAGACGGAGAATACCTCAACCACACCGTAATCATGATCCAACTAGACCCAGACAACAGGACTGTTATACTGGAAAAGAAATCCCCTGAAGAAGGTAAGATAAGAAAGATGGAAGGAGGATGAGGATGCAGGGAAAAAACAAAGGACAGAAACATATACAGAAAAGACAAACAGACAGAGATAAAGATTTGTCGGGTAATTTTGCCTGGCAAGAATTATTTTATATTATTTATTTTATTACTCGAAGAGACATAGGATAGATGTAAGTGGATAGCTGATATAAGAAAGATGGTTTGAGAGGTAGATAAGATGGGGAAAAAATTTGACAGAGGCTGTGCCCAAAAGCAGACAGCATTGAAAAGATAAGATGAAGGGAGGAGGAATTGGATAAAAGGAAGACCAGAGTAATGATGGGAATGGAAGACGCAATTGGACAGAAAGCAGGAACAATGAACGCAACAACATAATGATTACAAGAAAGGTACCAAAGGGGAGGAAAAAATTAAAAATCAAACAAACCACACAGAGGTTGGCACAATGTGCAGGCTTTGTGTCACACTCATCATGTTATTTGTACTGTACTGTTCTTAGACTTTTCTCTTTTGAAAAAAAAGGATTTAAACATCTTATCATAGATAATTTGCCACCTTTCACAAATTGCAACCTGTGAAAGTTCTAAAAGCTTCTGCATTGTTTATACTGAAAAACCATCATCCTTTCTCCCGTTTTGTTGCCATAAGGCAATGTTGTTGTTTTTATCCAAATGCTCCGTACTTGTATAGCGCCTTTCTAGTCTTTTCGACCACTCAAAGCGCTTTTACACTACATCTGCATTCACCAGTCACACACATTCATACACTGAGCCTAAGTGCTCAAACGGAAACTAACATTCACACTCACTCATACACTGGCGGAACAGCCGCCAGGGGCAATTCAGGGTTCAGTATCTTGCCCAAGGACACTTCGACACGCAACCAGGGGGAGCCAGGGATTGAACCGCCGACCGATTAACGGCCAACCCGCTCTACATCCTGAGCCACAGCCGCCCCATTATGTGCCTGATTTGATGGAATATAGTGAAGAGGTTTCGTTGAATCTTCTCCTCCACTTTCTGGCTTGTTTACAGTAATTATGATCCTGAAATGAATCTTACAATGATATATCATTGTTTAAAGGCTGGGACCTTCACAAGAAGGGCTCTGAAACACAAAAGAGAGAGACAGAAATTGTACACAAGAACACAAAGGAAGGGAGAGACCTAGAGTGCTGACAGCGTCTCTGTTCTTCCAGGTCACATCCACTGTTCAGCACTTAACTATAAAGGCTCCTTCCATTGCACCTGGACAAAAACAAAGTCCAGATCCAACGCCGCTGTGCTCCTGGTGAAGGCAGAACGGTAAGGACAAAACATAATTTCTCACACAGCACTCATCTTACTCATGTAAAGTAGATCATGCATTCTGTGTCTAGATAGCATTGTACCAACCGGTTTGTCTTCAATCTAGTTATTTGGAAAAGATTCCCTGTGAGCTGAATGCCGATGGATCAGGGGTTCACTGCCAGGATGCCAACTGCCCCTACAAAGAGGAACAACACCGCATCTCCCTCACCATTTACATACATATCGACTCTCGCCTTGAGGCCTACACGAAGACTTTCTACCTTAGAGAGATTGGTAAGTCGTAGTATTTTAACGTCTCTGTCAAAAAAGAGCCAATATGTCTTGTGGTTTGTTTTGGAATACTTTGATTTACCATGGGAGGAGCAACAAACAAGGAAACCTTAAACATATTTCAGCGTTTATTTTAGAAAGAACAGAACTGAACTGCTCTTCTGATACATTCTGTAACTACGTTTTGACCTGCGTGTGATGCAAATACTTAAGCGTGGTGTGGTCATATTTTCATCCATGCACCCTTATTCCCTTCAGTCTATGCTTGCAAATCACATTCCTGTCACATCTTCCTCACTGTACCGTTTCCTTCCCTCTCCCCATCCTTTCTCACCTCATTCCTCTTCCTTATCACCCGATCTAGTGAGGCCGGCAAAACTACCTAACCTGCGCATCAGTGATGGGACGGTGTTCAGCTGGAACTACCCTGAATCATGGGAGAAGCCCTGCTCTTTCTTTGGCCTGCAGTTCCAGGTCAAAGTGGTCAAGGCGGTCGAAGACCCAAAACATCCCTGTAACAGTGAAGGGCACATAATGGTATTCATGACATTCCTGATGTTTATCAAGTGGCACTACTGTAAAAATGAATTTGCTGACCAATTTAATCACATTGTCTTGATTGTGTCTCATCTTCTCTTGTTCAGGGTAACATCACTGAAACTAAGTACGAGGTTAATGTCAAAACCAAGAAGTATGTTTTCTGTGTGCGAGCTCAGGACAAGCACACCAGTGGGCCATTTGGCCACTGGAGCCATTGCATGTAAGTATTTTACTTGGACGAGTGTGTTTTGACTGGGTTTGTTACCAAATATTTAATTTGCATGACAGCTTATGATTTATCCAAATAACATACAAGTTATGCCATGCCAACATTGACCTGATCCATACTGTTTCATTCCAACACGTCCTGTCTCCAGAGTGAATAAAGATGTTGTGACCTGCTAGCTTCTTTTACTGGACTGCAGCCATAAACGAAGGAAGACCACAAGGATGGAAGAAAAACTTGCAATGCACAAAAAGTGGTGCTGTGCTTCAGGAGTGAATGTATACCTGTACAGTATTTATTGATCACTCATTCAAAAGTTGTCTTCAATTTTTTAAAAACATTTTTTTAATATGATTTAAATTATTTACTAAATTTGCCCTTTGTAACTCTTATATATATAACAATCCTTGCAGAATAGTTGTTAATATTTTTCTTAACATTTCATAATAAATGCATGAACATCTCAACAAAGGGTCTCAAATCTATTTCAAATATAATGGTGATTACTTGTTAAATATTGTCAAGAGATGTCCATATTCTGTTACTACCCACTTTAAATGACAATACAGGCAAATTTAGGTACCAAAAAAAGTTTATTGTCATATTTACAGCCAGGATGTCAGGGATGTGATGAGAAAAACACAAAAAGGCAGCTCTAAAGAAATTGTCCCAAGAAATGAGAAGGAGTTGAATGTCAAAGAGAGCTGTAAACCTGACAAAATCTGAAAATCACATCCCTAATATTTCCAAGAGCTGCAGGTGCAACTTGTTCATACGGCAGAGTACATCTTCCCCTTCCCCCAACATGTCCCTTTCTTCATCCATAACTTAAAATAAACATTGACAATAAGTGCAGACACATTCATTTCAATAACAAAGAAGGAACCCCCCCCCCAAAAATGTAAAATGCACGTTTTGTGCTGTCAGTTTCTTGCACTCCCTTCATCATTCCTCATCCTCACTTTTCATTTATCAACATTTGGTTTCACCAAAACTGTTCAAAAAAAGCTCTAAACAAAACACAAACTAATGAAATCTGCATTTAAAAAGTGTGTGCGTCAGTGTTGCAACAAGTGGAAATGCACAGAAAAACACATACATTTCTAGGCATATATGCACACACACACTGCTGTCCACTGATGGAAACCTGACACGTCCATGTGCCTACAGTACTTGTGTATAAAGTATACATGTACGACATCCTCCAACCCACAGTCCTGTGTCCAGAGACCCCTGCATACAAGTAGCAAGTTCCATCAAAACATGCACATGACAGTGCATTGTTTTGATGAAATTTTTTTTGCTACGATCAGTTTCAATTTCAACAGCTGGTAATGTCACAGTAGCTTTGAGGATTATTGCATATGATTACATGTCAAATTGTGTAGGCTGCAGGCATCACTTTGATTTTAACCATTGCTCTCAACACATTCTGTCATTCCAATGTTTCATTTGAATTCTTGACCATATTTTGCAGAGTGCCGTTGCCAGATCTTCTGCAGTAAAAATCATATAAATTAAACGGTTGATATATCCTCAGTTCTTGACATCACTTATTGACCTTACTGTAGTGAAATTAATTTGTTTTTACTTGCTTGGTATTAGCAAAGATTCTTGATAGTTACAGCAAAGTATGCCTACTTAAAGTAGTAGTGAAGTTGTGAAAGCAACTTCACACTACCTATAATGCAAAAATGCTGTAAATACCACCAATCTGAAAGACCAAGCAGTTTTAAAAGGTCGCATATATATTTTAGGGTACTACTGAACTGTGAACTTCAAGATGCATTTTTGCCACCTGACTGAAGTAGGTATGCAGACGTTTGTGGGTCAGAGTGGCTCGTGGAATGCGGCCTCAAACCTATGAGTAGTTTTTTTAACCCGCCCAGGTGTATTTTACGATTATCACACCGACCATCATTATTACTGTAATAAATGAAAACAATATTTGGGAAAATAAATGTGTGAGATTTGGGAGAGACGGAGAACATGCAAATATATAAATGGGGAAGCCCATCTCAATCCTGAGTGTTGGCAGCTGCAGGGTTAGCGTAGGATCTGTTGTAAGGTTTGAAATGAAGGACTTGTGATACTCAAGTTTGTATGTGTATGAGAATTTAATGATGGGATGGTAGCATCCAGCCCGAGTCTTTGCAGAGGATGCGGGCCCTCCTCAGTGGTGCTGCTTCTTGGATAGGTACCTACACACACACACACATTCAGCACATATAATACTTATATATATATCTTTTTTAGATTTTAGGTATGTTAGCGTATTTGTTTTGCACATGGCAGTTCTAACATGTGCTACAAGCACGTTTTATGTCACTAATACTAAGCAATTTTGTTTAGCGTGCGTGTGCTTACCTCTCCCAGTGTTTGTGGTTGAGTCCGCTGAAGTCATCAAGCTTGGCGATCTCTTTGAGGTACTGAGCCAGTTTATACAGCTCCCTGTCCTTCTCCCTGTTAAGATGGGCCTTCATGAAGGGTCGGATCTAACACACACACACACAGAAAATACATTTCAGCAAAACATGTGCATAATGCTGATTACAATGAGACAAAAGAGAGGGTCAAAATAATGACAATGGCTGCCTACCTTTAATCCGTTCTGTGGGTTCATGAGGAAGTTTCGTCCAATGTCATCAAACATAATAGTGTTCTTTCTGTTGTAAAATTCTCCATACTTCCCCCATATCACACCCAGGGGCTTCACCTGGATAAGTGCATGCCATAAAACACACTATATAAGTGCTCTCACCTTTCTCTAAAGCCACAGTAAAACGGCAGCGTGTATTTATGATCAGGTGTGTGTACCAACCTCCACAACCCCTCTCTTAGGGGTATGTACTGTGATCATTGCTGCACTGTCCAACATGAACGTAATCTTGTAGTTAGGGTTGTCAGTCACTCCCAGCTCCTATACACACACACACACACACACACACACACACACACAAACACACACACACACAAACACACACACACACACACACAGCAGCATTATCTTTGGTTCCCCTCTAAAGCCAAATGCTTAAGGTTAAATTGATTAACACTGCCACCTTTTGGCAAAAAAGGGTACAGTACAGTAATGGTAACAGTCTGTTGATACCATGTTTTGCAAAAACAAAAACACCCTGTACGCAGGATAAGCGGTTGACAATGGATGGATGGATGGGACAAAAACTAACACAACAAGTAGAATAACTTACTTTCATTTTGGCATCAATCCACTTCATACTTGTAGCAGCTAAAGAGAGAAAGCACATGTGTAAGATGTATAGTCCACAAGCAGATATTGATACAGAAGAAATCAAAAAACAGCAAATGGCCATCAAATATGATAATAATAATAAATATAAAAACAACTGTTAACTGCTTAGTGACACTGTAAGCTGCCCAATAAATACAACTTTTGTACAGAAAATGTACAAAAGAGAAAAGAGAAGACAGGACACGTACACCAGATGACAATGTCATAGTCCTCGTAGGCTGATGTCAGAAACTCGTGAAGATATGGTCTCATCAGCTCCTGACCCGTTTCTGCACATGACTTGTGATCTAAACATACATAGGATGAAGATATTAATGCACAGTGTCCTATCCTATTAAAATAGGAACTGATTGGCTGGCTTACAGTGATGTATTTCTATTTTGCAAAGTGTTCCGTTCTACTGACCAACATTAAAGAAGGTGCCAGCAAAATACAGATTTTTGTATCAATCTGTCAAAGTTTTACAGTTGCTCATAACAATGTCAACTTTATGAAACTCTCTAAGATTGCACCCATAAAAAATATGCACAGATGAAAAGAAGAGAACAGTGGAGACACCGTATTAAAGCATGCTATGATTTAACAAGTCAGTGGTTTCCTGGTGTTAGTGTCACTGTAACTCACCGAACAGCGTATAGTCCACATCCAGTACCAGAAGCCTCTTTCCTTCTCTGGGAGGGTTCAGCTCCTCCACCTTATAGTCTTTGACTCTGCGGGCTATTTTAGCCAGGTTCTCCTCTCTAGAGACATACAACAACATTTGTTTCTGAGATGCACACAGATTTATTTCCCCGCGCTCTCTTGTAATATTCATCTTGCTTCTATACAGCCACAGACACATAAAGACATCAAACCTGTTCTCCACTTCAACGACCTCCTCCTCGATGTCAAAATCATTGACCACGTCATCGTTCTCTGGGGGTGGGGCTAAAACCTCTTCCTTCACAAAAAACAAAAACACATGCAAGTATACCAGTCAGCCAAGGGGCACCTTTAACGCAACACAGTAAATAAGGCTAGTTAAGCAACATGTGAGCCCACGAAAATGACAACATTTATCAACAGCTAGCAGGATCATTACCTAAACAACCACTTATTGACCAGTTGAACAAAGCACTTTTACCAATGTCTGGTAAAAGTGCATATTAGCCAGTCACTCAGGCACATATCCACTTAACTGAGCAACTAGTCTTTTAGTCATAGTCCCAGCCCACTAATCTCTGGAGTCAGTTAATTCCTCTATCATCCCGCCACCTACCAGACTCTCCTCTCTGGTACCCATCATCATGATCTTAGTGTTAGGCTTCAGCTTCAGAGATCCCAGCTTCACCTCATCCTCTGCAGGTTTACCTGTAGGCAGGAATGCAAGAGAGAAGGAATGGAAGGATATGTGGAGAGATTAATTTAGCTCAAAACATGCCCAAAGCCTGGGGACATGTAGGGGTGGATTTATTTGATCAGAAGTTTATTCCATTCAGGAGAGAAGTTTCATACATAAAGTTAACCATACTGCAAAAGCAAAAAAGGGATGGATATCATATGGTATTTTTTACACTAGCTCCCCCTGGTATAACACACTTGTGATCCCTGATGTGCTCTCACCTTTGACCTTGAGCCCAAGTAGTTTCTGTCTCTCTGGCAGCACCCCCGTCAAGGTCTTAATGGACTGTTTCAGGTCCATCACTGTGTCCTCTTCAGACAGAGAACTGATGGAGTACTCCTGACCTCCCCACTTTATGATCACCGATACTGACATGGCTCTTCACACACATACACACACACACACACACTCTGCTGCAGCTGGAGTTGGGTATGCACAAGCCCAGACAAGTGCACACGCTTTCAAGCAAATACTTCCAGCTACAGTAACAAACGTGCACACATACACCTTGCAAATAGAGGGAAATAGACAAAGTAACAGCAGAGATGTCAGGATGCCACACTGTAATTGACAGAAGCTCGAGCAAAATACAGAAAGTGGCTAATAATGAAACACAAAGAACAAAACATGGCATCACTTTTGTTAAACACCTGTTGTTTTGACTGGCTGCTTCAAGACCCTACGGCCAAATGCCACATAATCAGAGTAGACACTGCCAGTCCCTGATGTTGATATTTTTAGCATGAGACGGCTAACACGAGTAGCAGAAATGTAAACACCCGGGGTAACCAGCCAACTAGCTAGCATTAGCTAACCAAGCTATACGGTTTAGGTATCCTTACCTGGAAGAACAAGCTAACGCGTAATGCTAGGCAAACACTGTACAATTTGGTCGAAACGCTGAATGAGTGAATGAAGTTTGCCGTTATGTTTCATTCATCGAGAGGCGCACACTCTGTTCTTCCTGGCGTCCCGTCACGCCGGTAGTGACGTAGAGAAAAAAGCTTTGTTACCATAGTGACCATTTCTCAATAGATTGATACAAAATCGTTTGATGAGTAGTGTTTGATAGTTTTCACTTACTTCTTTCTTACATTTCATTTAATAGAGACAAGACAAAAATAAAAAGGAAAGAAAAGAAAACGTTTTAGACATTTTTTGTCTAATTATTTTTTAGTTTGTTTTTAATATGTACCCAGGACTCTGTGGAAAGTATCGATGCTGGGTATATCCTATAGACTGTAAAAAAAAAAAAAAAAAAAAAAAAAAAAAATATATATATATATATATATATATATATATAATATACCGGTAGTCTTGTGAAATAAAGTAATTTAGATTGTGATTGTTGTTTAAACATACATAATTTAAAGATGTATGTGGTCACTTTAAAGATACATCCTCTGCAGTTCATGAGTGGGGTTGTATTTTACGTGCCTGGCATGTCATAGTTTCTTCTTCTAGACTGCTTTAACGTTACAGGAGAACATCCTACCTGCTTATAAAGAAAGCCTTTGACTATATATTTTTTCTAATTTGTATTGTTTATTTAGATTCCCGTTAATATTACTCCTAATCGTCCCGTGTTACTTATTAAAGGACCTAGTATAATGAACAAATATTTACACATACAGGCTACCTGAACATAACTCTGTATCACTATATTATATATATATATATATATATATATATATAATATCACTACAGTTCAGTGACTGACCTCCACCCTTCCATCCCAACTGTAAACCTGATCACATTCACAATTCACAGAAGCAAAGACTAGCTAAATATCCAGCTCTAATACGGACAACATCTTCCCATGAAGGTAAGTTTACGTTAACAACTAGCTTCACTTTCCATTATTGGTGTAACAAGTACGGGACCATAATATTTAATGGGACGGCCTATTGCGCATGCACAGTCCGTCCTCTGTACTTAGGGGATCGGCCTAATGGCTGCTAGGTGAGATGAGCGGATCGGCCGCATCCTTTAAGTGTGAGGCGCTTCCATCAAGAAGACCGTTAACTCGGGCGCTGCCGAGTTAAAATGGTCGATATCCGACCCGAAAAGCATCCCGAAACCGTTGTACATATTGCGAACATCGTCCTTGTAGTGTAAGTTCTCTTTTTTTTTCTTATTAATCTCTGGGCGTCAAAGCTAACTTGCTAAGGATGTCTACCACTCTCTTGCTAGCTAAGCTACAGTTGGACTATGCGGAGCAGTTTGTGTTAATCTTCAAATGGTTTAGGCTAACACTAACGTTATTTGCTTGTTTGTGAAAATGTGTGTCCGTGGTAGAGTCGGAGCAAGGCTAACAAGTCGGGCGTGTTTTTATTTACATTTGTGTTGAAGTGAGCTTGATTGTTGACAGTACGTTAGCTAACATAAATGACAGCGATGCTAGCTAACTAGCTACGTTAGCTTGAATTGTTGGCTCTGTGCCTGCTGCCTGCAGCTCATCATCTCAGCACGTACACCGTTATAACTATACTACCAACTTGAAACATCACGCACGGAGAAACCGTTTATTTGGTTTGTGTATCCTATATTAAACTGCAACATACAAACCGGTCTAGTTAGTGAACTGTTGCAGTCTTTTGCGGGGTAACGTTAACAATTTTTTTTTCTTCTTTCGCCGAGACAGTGGGGTTACTAGAGTTCATGGCGTAACGTTATCACAATCGATGCCGCACTCACTCATCCATAACGTCTGTAGCGCCGATGTTTCAGTTAACTTAAGGGTATAAATGCAGCTATTTAGACTAGGTCTAACCACAACATGCCCTGTACCTGGGCTTACGACAGATAAAAATACAGTGGTAGACGAACGCGTTAAGTTATATAAGATCGGACTCTGCGAAGTGATCTCTCTCTGGCCAGTGATAGTCGTGGTGAATTCAGAGTTATGTAAGTTATCAAGGTCCTGTCCTGGGATGCAGGGACATTAATGTATAGAAAGTCTGCTATTGTCGACTTTGAAGCAGTCTCGGGCATTATAAAGTATAAATGTGTTATTTAAGCTTGAGGTGGAATGACTAAATTGTGAATCAATGCGTGTTGAGCAACTAGTTTATGAAGTTGCCGTTTGCTGTACCTACATTGCAGGTTTGTAAACAGATTCCCGAAAAGACTGCAGGAGCTTATCTCTTTTAAGTCAGATTATGCTTCCTAGCATTATGTTTTTCTGTGAGATACAGTGAATTTACCCATTGCTGCTGGTGCAAGCCTGGTTGGCAATGATTGATTGATTGATTGGATTAAGTCTTCCTAAACAGGACAAAGCAGGTTTGTCATGGATATTTCAAACAATAAAGTTGCAGCAGAAACATACTCAAAATAGCTTTCAAGTAGCTGTTGATCAACAAGTGTGATCTAAACATGATTTTATTTATTAGTTATTATGCATGAGATGAAACTATTTTAATTAAGTGATTTTTGAGATGATTGGGGGGGAATTTGTGTTGCAGCAGCGCCTGTGAAAGTATTCAGGGGAAAGGAAATAAAACAAATGCAATCTTTAGTATAACGATAAGCAATACAATATCTAAATTATTGAGCAGGTATGTTAATGTTGCCCAGGTAGATTGTAAAATTGGGAAGTAACAGGAGTTCACATACAGGTGGCACTAAATTTTGATCGATAAATATGGATCATGTCACTTACTGTCACATGGATGTAAGTCGTATAAGTAAATGTATGTTTCATGTATAAACAGGGTTGTGGTTTAGAGAGAAGATAGGTTCATTTATCTCTGGGGGGAAATTTTCATGTCACAGCAGCAATATACTAACAAACCACACAGTACAAAGAGTAGTGCTTAAACAAATATCAAATTCAAGTACTAACAAAAGTAAAAACCTGTGCTAATTGCATTTAAAAGATGTATTGCACTGTGCCATAAGTAAAGGACAGTGTAATTGTAGTCCAATTAGCGAGTCCACTAAGAATCTCAGCAGTCTCCGAGTCCACTAATGTCCACACTGCGAAAATGTATACAATGAGATAACAGCAATGTTAGCTATCAGAGATTTTGCCATACCATTTACTTACTAAGGTATGTACCCCTCTAATATCTGATTGTATTAGGCCGCTGCGTAAGGGCAATGTTACAAATCAATGAGCAGGACAGTTTTACAGCAATATTGGGTTTACAAGATTTTTCCATCAATATGATGAAGTACCTCAGTACAGATTTTTTTTTAGATGTTTGATTCACAGACATCCAATATCTGTTTTTGTTAACTAATGTTAACGTAATTAAATTTATGAAAATGTACTTATGTATTAATATTGTGATATAAAAACTCACATACTGACATACAAACAATTAACCCACATTGCCCACCACTAGACATCGTAAAACAGAAAATAAAGAAAATGCTACTAAATGTATGCTGCAACTATAAATGGAACAGTGTGTGAAAGACTGAGGAGGCGCATATGTGAATAAGCTGATTTTGCAAGTATACCTAATTTGTCAAGTTTGCTTTCACAGTTGCTCATGTTAAGTCCTGTGCAGTTGGTTAGTGTGTGGAAGCAAACAGAAAAGCTTGGATTAATTTGCATGTACTCAATTCTGGATTAATTATTGACCGATAGATTTACCTATGCAAATCATACGATGAAGCAGTTCTTCATATACAATCCCCTCCAAAAGTATTGGAAATTCCTTTGTTTTTATTGTTCACTGAAGACAAGAGTCAAGAGTATGAGACAAGAGTTCAGAACTTCAGCTCACATTTCCTGGTATTCACATCTAGATGTGTTAAACAAGTCAGGACATATCACTGTTTGTATTAGACCACAGCATTCTTAGTTGAGCAAAAGTAATGGAACAAATAATCTTAAAGTAAATAACATTTAATGTTTGGTGGCATAACCCTTGCTTGCAGTAATTGCCGCAAGCCGGCAACCCATCGACATCACCAAACTGTTGCATTCTTCATTTGTGATGCTATTCCAGGCTTTTACCGCAGCTTCTTTCAGTTGTTGTTTGTTTCGAGGTGTTTCTCCCTTCAGTCTCCTCTCAGGAGGTGAAATGCATGCTCTATTGGGTTAAGGTCAGGTGATTGACTTGGCCAGTCTAAAACCTTCTACTTTTCCCCCTGATGAAGTCCATTGTTTTGTTGGCAGTGTGTTTTGGGTCATTGTCCTGCTGCATGATAAACTTCCTCCCGATTAGTTTCAATGTATTTCTCTGTAAATTGGCAGACAAAATATTTCTGTACACTTCTGAATTCATTCTGCTGCTACTATCATCAGTTACATCATCAATAAATATTAATGAGTGTGTTCCAGAAGCAGCCGTGCACGCCCAAGCCATGACATCATCTCCACCATGCTTCACAGATGAGCTTGTATGCTTCGGATCATAAGCAGTTCCTTTCTTTCTCCACACTTTGGTAGAGTTTAATCTTGGTCTCATCAGTCCATAAGAATGTGTTCCACAACTTTTGCGGCTCATCTCTGTACTTCTTTGCAAATTTCACTCTGGCCTTCCGATTCTTCCTGCTGATGAGTGGTTTGCGTCTTGTGGTGTGGCCTCTATATTTCTGCTCTCTGAGTCTTCTTCGAACAGTGGATTGTGATACCTTCACCCCTACACTGTGGAGGTCGTTGCTGATGTCACTTACTGATGTTTTGGGGGTTTTCTTCACAGCTCTCACGATATTTCTGTCATCAACTACTGTTGTTTTCCTTGGCCGACCTGTTCGACCTCTATCTGCTCAGTACACCAGTAGTTTCTTTCTTTTTCAGGACATTCCAAATGTTTGTGCCCAATGATTTTCCTTCTTTTCTCAGCTTGACAATGGCTTGCTTTTCTCCCATAGACATCTCTCTGGTCTTCATGTTGGTTTATCCTCTTTAACAGGAAATGCAGTCTTTATAGGTTTGAACCAAGGATGAAAACTTAGACTAGTCATGCAGAGCTATTTATGTTTGGACTATCAAGCTAAAAGGCAACACGAAACATCTGTCAGTCACATGTTCCAATAGTTTTGCTCACTTGAAAAATTGGTGGGTTCAACCAAAGGGTGGTATGTCCTGAGTTGTTTAACACATCTAGATGTGAATACCAGGAAATAAAAGCTGAAATTCTGAACTCTTGTCTCATACTCATCTTTTGATCTTAAACCCAAATGTTGTCAGTGAACAACAAAAACAAAGGAATTTGCCTTACAGTTCCAATACTTTTGGAGGGGACTGTACACTTCTTGTGTTAACAAGCCTTTGTTTTAATGTACTGTACTGATCTCACTTTTGGAACTGGAACAACCTTGTGGTATTCCTGTGGAATCTCTTCAGTTATATCCTTTTCCAGACTAGCAGTTTTTCCAGGATTGTGTTTCCATTCCTAAATGAGTAGCAGAGAGGAACTTGACCCTCACAAGTTGTATCTGGCACTAGTGTTTGGTTTTGTTGACTGTCCCAGCTGCTCCACCTTGCACACAAATATTTGGGAAGCAGCAAGGCCTCACTTTGTGAATTAGTTGCAACTAATCATTTCAAAAGCATACTTAACTGAACACTGTTTGACAAACCTTTTATCTTACATGAGTGTATTGGTTTGAGTGGTTTAGGTGAGAAAATGCTCATGTGTAGTTTTTTCCACATTACCTTCAGGGTGTAACTATCACCAGATCACTTCTTGAAACATATTTCTGATGTCATTAACAGCATATAAGCACTTGCGTGTCTTCTTATACTAGTGTTCCCTGGCAGTCATTTTTCTATTCACTCTTTATAAAGCTGTTTCTCACAGTGTTTCAACAGGTATCTTTTGTTAGTGTTGTTTTGATAATATAAATGGGATATTAGTATAAAGCCTTTGATGAAGCAAGTGTAACAGTATGGTTTGGCTCTCCCATATAATGCTAACATTTATCCATGACTTTGATAAATGTTTAAACTATCTGCTAAATATATTAATAGGTTCAGGCTCATTAAATGGGATGCATAATCGTTGTTGTAAGGGCTGGAGTTTAAAACCACCTACCTGCCAAATGCAGTAAAATGTAAGCTGTTGCTGGGAAGTTTACATTTACTGCAAGTGACAATAAAATGTCCTATTAGGAAAATAAATATTTTGGGTCAAAGAAAAGTTAGCATTTGGTGTGTTTTACATGCAATTCTCACTATAGCCTCTGGATGAAAAGGCCCATTTCTCTCCTGCTTCCTTTTGCAGCTCCTTAATCTGTCTCTCTCCACCTTATCATGAACTCCCTTCACTCTCCACCTTGTTGGTCCTCCTTTCCTGCTGGTTGCCTTTCATCTTTTTCCTCAATTCTTGCTCTCACCCTCTGTAACTGCTTCTTATTTCTATTATTATTTACTTTATTTATTACTTTTTGTGCATTGTGTCTTTCTCTGCAGTGCACCCGCTGTCAACATCCCATCTTAGTGGTCAGTTCTGCCTGCCAATCAGAGGTTAAGCTGAGGCCATGGCAGTGAAGGACCGTGTAGAGGCGGTGCTCAATGTGGGTCTGCGTGTTCCCAGCATCATGTTGCTGGATGTCCTGTACCGCTGGGACGTCAGCTCCTTCTTCCAGAAGATCCAGCGCTCCAGCCTCTCCAACAACCCCCTGTTCCAGTACAAATACCTGGCACTCTATCTGCACTACGTAGGTTAGTGTTGGTGTCTCTCTCACTCTCACACACACACACACACACACACACACTTACATATGTTATGTTCCAGTACAAATACGTTCCCCCGTGTTAACACTTCTTAGTTTAAAACAAACAAACTTAGTATAAAACAAACACATTATAGAAATGCTTTGCTCTTTCTGCTCTGTATAACATTTTGCACATTTGATAATGCAACACATGTATAAAGAGCTGTAGCCTTTGGTATGTCAGTGTTGTCAGTTGGGTTATCATGATCTGCAGTAGGTGTTTTATTTGTTTGACTAGCGATAGAAGACTAACTAGTGGATAAAGTGGCTCCTGTTCTGCTCGCGTTATCGCGTTATATTTACCTCTCTTGGTTGGATTTGCATGCTTCTCTTTTTTTCCATTCAGCAAGGGCAGCCCTCTGTAGCCAACTCTATAAGTTTCAATCTGCTCACACATGGTGACAGGCAGTAAGCCATGAGGCTGCGCTTTGTAGTGATTTCAGGACAGTCAGGAGGGATTGTTTGGCATGACGACAAGTGGAGTTTGACCAAAACTATCTGATTTACTCGATGGTAAAATAACAAAGATGGGTGCTGCCTGAAACCAGTTTTCCTCCTCTAGCTGTGTGGTTCTTGGCTCAGCAGTGGCATGTAGACAGTGGCAGTCAGCTGTGCCAGTCAGTTAGAGACGAGTGTCAAGTAGTAGGGCTGTATCGAATGCCATTTTTTAAAAATATATAAATTCAAAGTGTATGTCATCACCCTTAAAAAAAGCAAACCCTAGGACAAAATCCTCATTTGAATGAAGTGATTCATTGGATGAAACATGTTAGTCTTTTTTGTAAGTACAGGCAGAATGAGGGGCGGCTGTGGCTCAGGAGGTGGCTCGGAACCTCAGCGGTTCAATTCCCGGCCCCTCCAGGCTGCATGTCGTAGTGTCCTTGGGCAAGTTACTGAACCAAATTGCCCCTGGTGGCTGTTCCACCAGTGTATGAATGTGTATGAATGTTGGTTTCTGTTTGAGCACTTAGGCTCAGTGTATGGATGTGTGTGAATGTGATATAGTGTAAAAGCGCTATGAGCGGTCGAAAAGACTAGAAAGGCGCTATACAAATACGGAGCATTTACATGAGTAGCATTTGTCAGTTGCTGATTGTAAACACATGATTCAAAGTTGGCAAATGCAGAGAGAATTCCCCGCAAAATCTTGCAGGAAAAAGCCACATTGCCGGATTTTGTGTGAACGCATGCAGCTGAAGCCACGGTTCACCCTGTGGCAGCTGTGCTTGAGTGTGTGTGAGTGTGTAGCTCAGCTGCCCTCAATCAAACAGACACACTCACTTTTACAGAGAGCAGAGGAGATAAACGTGGTTACCATGGTTTTATAGAGTCCCGACCTTACACACTGCACACTCAGATACAGATTGAATAGACATGAGAAAGATGATACTGTGACTAGGGCTGGGCGGTATATCGGTATAATGAGGTATACCGATATAATTTCAAAAGAGATATGAAATTAGACAATACCGTTTATACTGATATAGTTTGATGTTGAGTTAATTAATGTTTCTGTAAAGTCCTACCAGCGTTTGCTCCTCTCTCTCCCTCACTGCGAAGCGCCTCCCCTCCCTCTGCGTCTGCAGGCAGCCGTCTGCTCACAAACTCTCAACAAAATGGAGGGAGACACAGACCTGGCTTGTAAAAAGAAAAACATGGTCCATTCAGTGTTTCCCACAAATACACTTTACTTCGGCGACACATTGTAGCAGTTATCAGAGAAACACGGTGATGACGTTACAAGTCGCGACACTGTGGATATTTTACAAGAGCGACAGTGAACACACCAGTCAGACATGTTATTCGTTAGCTAAGTCGTCAACACGCCTCCTTAACGTGCAGCTCTGCGGCTGCGAACAGAATCACCGAAGGAGAAGTCCAGAAGACAAGTTTTATTTTTTTCTGTGACTTTATACAGCCTAGCCTACTACTGATGGAGAAAGTCACCGAAGTGGACATGCAGGGAGAGGGAGACGCCACTGCACGGTATCAGCTCGACTCACCTCGACTCTACTCGCCTTTTTTTGGTTTTCCATTGCATAAAACTTGTACCTGCTACCAGGCACTTTTTTCGTATCACCTCTGTCTTATCTGTCTTTACATTCTGAGTAATGTTGAAACGTTTTAACTTAAATCAAGAGACAGCTGTGTGGGTCCCTGGTGTGTGTGTCGCATTGAACATTACATCGTGGCATTTGTGTGTGGTGTCACTATGACGACCAGCTACATTGAGGGGTGCTATCTCTGGGTACTATCTGCAATGGAAAACTGAGGACGGCCAAACCGAGTTGAGTCGAGGCGAGTCGAGCTGGTACCGGGAATGGAAAAACGGCATAAGAAGTGGGGAACGCTGACGTGTTTGCAGCAGAGGTACGTTAGGTCTGAGAGTGTGAAGAGAACTGAAGGAGGCAAATTCAATAAGTGAGTGATACTTCAAATGTAGAATGAAGTATAATTAAAACGGTGAAATAAGAAACAAGCTAGTTACTAAAAATAGTAAAAACATGCTGTTAACAAGAAAACAGAAAAATAACAAACACAATGGCTCTCAGAGTGCCAACCTTCATCAACACTGACCTCTTTATGCACAAATTATTAAAAAGATTATCTAGGTTTTAAGATTTGTTTTATTCCTTAAAATTATGTTAAAATACAAATCCATTTACATTTTTACAAACTTCTGTTGGAATAGTATGTTTTTTTTTTTAATGTCATGTGGTATTTAAGCTCAATTATTGTAAATAAATAAAATAAAACACTCATGGTTTGTATTTATAATCATGGTGGTATTTATTACTGTAGTTACATGTGTGTGTGGAAACCCAGTAGCATATTGTTATCCCTGAATCATCTGTTTTATAACATATCAACATCCAAAATGTAACTGATTATATAGTTCTAATTAAAACTGATTTCTTTACAGATGAGAACAATACTAATTCTTATTGTGTTGGAAGGGCCACAAAGCAGTCAAATGTTGCCATTTAATGCTGTAATATATACCATTACATTGTTATTTAATGTCTATATATTTACTAGCAGGTTACAGAAATCAGACTTAATGCAATCTTACTCGACTGTTGCATAACATCCACATACGTGGACAGTTGGTTTTTGGTGTATAAAAACTACATTTTACTCTGAATTTTAATTTATAAAACATAAACCTGTTAATAATACTTTTCTGTACATACTGCTATTTCTTTTTACCTCAACTGACCTTGAATAAAAGTTTTTCACAGACATGCCTGAGGCATTTAGCACATGGCCATCACTGTTGGCCATCTTGGATTGATGGGGTCATCAATAAATATTTGGAATACAAGATAGCAACATTATAATAGTGGTTACTATCAATCAACTGACACTGTCGTCAAGTGGCTTGGAGAATATAATTATATATTAACACAAAATGTGTGAAAAATTACTGTCCACAAATATGGACACCATACATGAAAGGGTTAAGTTGACCAGTTCCCCATTAACATTTGGTTTCACCTCCTAGTGAAAAGCGTCACAAGGAGAAAATAATGCGAGTTCCCCCTGGATACATAGTAGCAAGAATGGAGTGACAAGGACATTATCCCTTGGTGACTTACCCCCTACCTACACTAACCAGAGCAAGTGAAATTGACTTCTTCAATCATGAGTCTTTGTCTCTTAGCAGTATAGTTAAGCTAGAATACACAAGTCTTGCAATAGTGGCAAAGTGCATTCATAAACCCAATTTCACAGAAATCCATCACTGATTTACACATTCTGCTGACAGTTAGACAGACAAGCTGGCAAAAATATAACCTCAGTGGTGAGGGCAGTGAAGTAATAACAACACATGGCTTTAAAGTCCTAACTTTGTCCCTGGATTGAACCTTAACTGGATAGTTGCCAGTTTCTACTTAAATGTCCATGTCATGACAGGAAGCCTGTCAGGTGAAACACTGAAAGACAGTAACAGGGATGTTAGGCTAAAGTTGACACAGCAAAGTCTGATGGGCAGACTGTGGTTTGAGCTGAATGAAAACATCTATTTAAAAAAAATAACGCTTGCTCAGATCAGACGAGCACAGTGGTGAGTTTTCTGTGCTTGTTTTAATATGTCTGTGTTTGCGCGTGTGTGTGCTGTCAGGCTTGGGTGCAGTTGGTTAATTAGTCAATAGGCTTGGTATGTGGTATGTGCTGATGAGCACTGTGGGTGGACAGAAAGAATAAAAGGGGACAGAGGCTGTAAAACCAAAGTAACTGTTGCTATGTGCTGAGGAGTTTTTTTGACTGTTTTAGGTTGTAGACTGTTGCACTGTAAGCCTATTGGAAACAGTGACTGTTGAATTACATAAGAAACATCATACATTGTTGTTTAATCTGTTTAATACTGACTTAGTTGTTTGGTCTATAAAATGTGAAAGTTTTGTTTATTGTCATAGAAAAGTAAAATAACTAGGGGAAAAAATATATTAATTGATTGTCAAAATAGTTGCCGATTTAATATAATATTTGACAACTAATCGGTTCATCTTTGTAGCTCTAAATACATGTATTGTCACTTTTTGCTTTTACTTGTTTTTTTTGTTGATTGTCTCATACCGGCTGCATGTGTGACTACCTCACAGGTTACATCCTGAGCTTGGTGCTCCTGACTCTGCCTCGTCAGCACCTGGTTAAACTTTACCTATATGTCCTCACGGCTCTGTTGCTGTATGCTGGTCACCAAGTCTCAAGGTATGAACAAACACACACGCATAGATGAGACATCCACTAGTGGACATGATAAGATGCATCTGTTCTCCTACTCTGGTGAATGATACAGAATATTGGTTATGGCACGTGTTGCCCATATTATTTCTGAATCTGATATACACTCACCTAAAGGATTATTAGGAACACCTGTTCAATTTCTCATTAATGTAATTATCTAATCAACCAATCACATGGCAGTTGCTTCAATGCATTTAGGGGTGTGGTCCTGGTCAAGACAATCTCCTGAACTCCAAACTGAATGTCAGAATGGGAAAGAAAGGTGATTTAAGCAATTTTGAGCGTGGCATGGTTGTTGGTGCCAGACGGGCCAGTCTGAGTATTTCGCAATCTGCTCAGTTACTGGGATTTTCACGCACAACCATTTCTAGGGTTTACAAAGAATGGTGTGAAAAGGGAAAAACATCCAGTATGCGGCAGTCCTGTGGGCGAAAATGCATTGTTGATGCTAGAGGTCAGAGGAGAATGGGCCGACCGATTCAAGCTGATAGAAGAGCAACTTTGACTGAAATAACCACTCGTTACAACCGAGGTATGCAGCAAAGCATTTGTGAAGCCACAACACGCACAACCTTGAGGCGGATGGGCTTCAACAGCAGAAGACCCCACCGGGTACCACTCATCTCCACTACAAATAGCAAAAAGAGGCTACAATTTGCAAGAGCTCACCAAAATTGGACAGTTGAAGACTGGAAAAATGTCGCCTGGTCTGATGAGTCTCGATTTCTGTTGAGACATTCAGATGGTTGAGTCAGAATTTGGCGTAAACAGAATGAGAACATGGATCCATCATGCCTTGTTACCACTGTGCAGGCTGGTGGTGGTGGTGTAATGGTGTGGGGGATGTTTTCTTGGCACACTTTAGGCCCCTTAGTACCAATTGGGCATCGTTTAAATGCCACGGCCTACCTGAGCATTGTTTCTGACCATGTCCATCCCTTTATGGCCACCATGTACCCATCCTCTGATGGCTACTTCCAGCAGGATAATGCACCATGTCACAAAGCTCGAATCATTTCAAATTGGTTTCTTGAACATGACAATGAGTTCACGGTACTAGATCTCAACCCAATAGAGTATCTTTGGGATGTGGTGGAACGGGAGCTTCGTGCCCTGGATGTGCATCCCACAAATCTCCATCAACTGCAAGATGCTATCCTATCAATATGGGCCAACATTTCTAAAGAATGCTTTCAGCACCTTGTTGAATCAGTGCCACGTAGAATTAAGGCAGTTCTGAAGGCGAAAGGGGGTCAAACACAGTATTAGTATGGTGTTCCTAATAATCCTTTAGGTGAGTGTATAGACTACTTGTAACAGTGACATTTCAGGAATAGGTGATTGTATTCTGTCAGATAAGCCACATTTATTTATCCCATACTGTCAGTTAAATGCCTTGTTGTTGTTGTTGATTTGCAAGGGCACCATAGCCTTTCATGAGCATTCACTGTACAGTATAATGTACTGTATCTTTTTCAGGATTTGCCGTTAAATACATCAATAGCTTGTTTGATATGATTTGATTTATACATATTAAGTCACAAAAGATTTCTCTGTCAATTAAGCATTTTGATCTGTCTTTGTTAGGGATTATGTCCGCAGTGAACTGGAGTCTGGCCATGAGGGACCTGTCTACCTAGAACCTCTCTCAATGAACAGATTCACCACTGCACTCATAGGTATAATATTGCATGTGAATACAGGAAGACACGCTCACAGTACACAGGACAAACCCAAACATAGGCAGGTGGATACAGCTCCTTTCTGAGCGCACTGAATACTAGATACGCACTGGTAGATAAAGAAAAGCATCTTTAGGGGTTCAGGGAGTATTTCTTGCATTTAAGCTTCCCTTAAGGTCAAATCATCTGCCCACCTCTGGCATAAATCTTACTGATACTACTACCCCTAGAACTGTGAAAGCTGGTCCATGTTGAAATAGGAAATGTTAAAATGAGTTGCTATGTTCCTGGGTCCATAGGACCTGGTTTCATCTTTCTAGATATGGAGTCTCCTGTGCTAAAAATAGACTGTACTGAGTGCTGATTCCGCTGCACACTGAAAGCCTGAGAAAGATAAAATAACATGGTTATCGTGACAAAGATATACGGCTGTAGAGAGAGGGGGGAGATTAAAGGTACTAAATATGAAAGTGGCCTCACAAAATGATTTCTTCTTAAATGTTGGCTTTTGTAGTCACCACACCCAAATAAATTAAAAACTCTTAACTAGACAAAAAATTACCGACAATGCATCAGCAAAACTGTTCCAAAATCACATTTGCAACAGTGATGTGTGCACATCTTTAAGTTTCGTGATCTCTCCTTTTCTTTCAGGTCAGCTGGTGGTGTGTACGCTATGTTCCTGTGTAATGCAGACTAAGAGGATTTGGCTTTTCTCTGCTCACCTCCTCCCTCTGGTGGCCAGACTGTGTCTTGTCCCAATGGAGACCATCGTTTTCATCAATAAGTTTTCCATGATCTTTACAGGCCTGGAGGTCATTTACTTCCTGGCTTCTAACTTGTTGGTACCATACAACCTGGCCAAGACAGCCTACAGAGAGCTGGCTCAGGTTTGTGTTTTGTGGCCTAGTGTTGCAAGCTTTTTTCAGTTTTCATTACAGGATTTCAGCTATTGGAGTCCTAAGAGATTTCCTCACATATATTATTTATGTTATTCTGCCTTTGTCCCAATTATTTCAATCTCACCTCTTCTCCATCTCTGTACCCCCCCCCCCCCCCAGGTGGTGGAAGTGTACGGGCTGCTAGCTTTAGGCATGTCTCTATGGAACCAGCTGGTCCTTCCAGTTCTCTTCATGTGTTTCTGGTTAGTGCTGTTCGCTTTGCAGATCTACTCCTACTTCAGCACCAGAGACCAGCCTACCTCAAGGGAGAGGCTCCTGTTCCTATTTCTTACCAGGTAAGACCATAGCACTGGTCAGACTGTGTGAGACATCATAGATTGTAGATCACAGACTCTCTAGAGTGTCTTTTGTAGATTTATTGGGTATAAATATCATGTACCAAACTACTGTATAAAAAATTCTAAACTGGGATATAGAAATCATGGGTATCATTTATTTAATCTTTATGAAAGTGGACATAATTATGTAACACAAAATACAGAAACATACAATAGTAGTAAAAGTCATATTACACATTTCATTAAAAACTATTAGTTAGTTAGTTTTTGAGATACTTTGTCATGGATCATAGGGTTGGTCATAAGGAAATTTCCCCTCATTGCGTCACTAGACAAAGGCGAGTGTGAATATCCATAGCAAATTTCATGCAAGCTGACCAGTAATTGTGGAGATGCCTTATTTTGGGACAATGATGATGATAAAATACTCATAGCAGTTCTACCTTGAACGTACCTGTACCAGGTAGAGATGGGCATGTCAAGCAAAAATGCTGTTGTATAGTTGCTGATCAGCTGATTGCTGTGTTTTGTCATAAATTTGTGAAGTGTGTTGCCAACCTGGAAGTTTCAGAGTGCCCTCTGTTGCACAACCTATGCAGTGACCACACTCATAACACGATTGAAGGATCCATCTTCCATCTCTTTGTTTCTTTTTTAATTGTCATTTATCAGCTGTTATAAACACAGATACAAATTTATCTGCAATTAGTTCAGATTGGCCCATAATATCGGCACACCGATTTATCGGTCAGGCTCTTTGTACTTGTGAACAGAAATAGATGACAACATATATTACCTGTCAAATCTTAGTGCTCTTCCATCAACATATTAAGGAATTGCAGGTTGAGTTAACTTGGAATGGAAAATAACTTTTCTGTTTTTGTTGTTAACTCTTTCTTCTTTCTCCTCACCTACCATGCTCTCTCCTCCCTCTTTGTCCTCAGTATTGCAGAATGTTGTAGTACACCATACTCCCTGCTGGGTTTGGTGTTCACCGTCTCCTTCATTGCTCTGGGAGTTCTCACACTCTGCAAGTTTTACCTGCAAGGTTACAGAGCCTTTATGAATGACAACACCATGCACAGGTCAGTCAGCACAGATGTCTGTGTGGGTTTGTTAAGGGTGTCTATTGGTGTGTAGGTACAGTTTTAATCATGTTACATGTTTGTTTCCTGCCTGTCTGCAGGGGAATGACAGAAGGCATCACCCTGCTGATTCTTGCTGTCCAGACTGGCCTTATCGAGCTTCAGGTCATCCACCGAGCCTTCCTCCTCTCCATCATTCTCTTCATTGTTGTTGCTTCAATCCTGCAGTCCATGCTGGAGATTGCTGACCCCATAGTCCTGGCCCTGGGTGCATCCAGAGACAAGTAAGATACATTTACCATGCATCTTGTTTTTAACTGAGAACAAGTCTTTTTTGTTGTTTATTTTAGTTGGTTTAGTTGTCTATAATCCTCAATCTTAAACAAATGGAATGCCACATGTCTATCAAAAATGGACTTCTGCTGAGAAAACGGTTCCATTTCTTAGTATTTTTGGCATTTCAGCAATACACTTAAAGGTCAAAACTAGCTGACACATGTTTATTTATACCTTTAACGGACAGGAAATGCTTTGGAAAACAATAAAGGTACCCTGGCAGAATGTGTGTAAGCAAAATGCCCATGTTGGTACAGATTAAGCTGACTGTCTTCTCTTTTGCTCCCTCCGCTGTCTGTCTTTTAGGAGTTTGTGGAAGCACTTCAGAGCAGTGTCTCTGTGTCTGTTCCTGCTCATCTTTCCAGCCTACATGGCTTATATGATCTGTCAGTTCTTCCACATGGACTTCTGGCTTCTCATCATCATCTCCTCATCTATCCTCACCTCACTGCAGGTAACACACAAGCACCTCACACACACAGACTATAAACATACATATAAAGAAATACTTTTATGATAAATTTTATTGAATTATATCAAAATGCTAAGACAATCTCCTGTGTCATACCAGGTCCTCGGCACTCTGCTGATCTACATTCTCTTCATGGTGGAGGAGTTTCGTAAGGCTCCAGTAGAGAACATGGATGAAGTTATCTACTGTGTCAACGGTACCTACAGATTGCTTGAATTCCTGGTGAGTGTCACACATGCACACACATTATACAGTACTGTAACAGGGTTTCTGCTGGGTCTTAAAAAGTCTTATATTTACTGAAGTTTGTGTTCTAGGTCTTAAATAATTTTAAACAGGTCTTAATTTTCCAACTTCCATGTAACTCTACCTCTAATGCACATTGAAATGCTCCCGCAGTGCTCAAGTATGTTTTTTCCTCCCGTGGTGTAGTTTTTCTTTTGCTAGTCCACGCATAATTGGCTGTGTTACGACTACAAAGACCAACATGTAGCTGTCGTATTATTGCCGCGAGTCTCTTTCGGATTTTACCCCACATGTAAAACGGATTTATTTTTCAGCTATGGGGAAGTGCAACCTTAGCGACTCTTGTCTGAAAGAAACAGAACTTAGGACTTGGTTAAACCCAGTTGCTAGAAACATATGTGAAGCTGCTTAATGAATGAGCACAGTTACTAAAATTTCACACGATCATTAATGATTTTCAGTAAGCTACGGTAACACTCAATGCATGGCTATCTCCCTCTCCTCGTTCTTCAAAGAACGAGTGAATGTGAGGGAGAGAGGGGCAGACGCTAACGGTGAAAGTTAGCGGAGGATAAGATCAGCATTAAGTTTTCAGGTTACAGCTCTGTCCTGTACTCTACATCTTGATAGTTAAATTAAATTAGAAAGAAAGGATGGTGTTAACCAAGGAGGAGCTGAGGTTAGTAACATTAAAGCAAATTAGGGATACAAACTAGTCCTTTTAAGCTAATGAGGAGATTATTCTTTTGGATTTTGATGTACAAATGAATTGCTTGTAATTATACAGGAGGGAGGTGGTTCTCATGTTGCCAATTTTGTTAATTTCTACAAATTTACAAAGCAGTAAATGAAGACACAAAAAGCAAACATGAATAATCCTATCTGTAATAATTCTGGGGTCATGTTATAAGGTGGTGAGGCTAAAAACAGCTTGGTGCTGCGCCATGAATGTAAAATCATTACGGAGAGCATCAAAACTAACCACATGCATTTTCCCAGATCTAATGGTTATAATTCAAAGCCAGTAGACTTCTTTAGCAAGTTTAGCTGAGCTAACGATGATTTTAGTATTCGAACCTTCGATAGATTATTTCAATGATTCATTGATGCGTCGTTTAAGAAGTACTTTTGCTTTGCGCCGGCGGTGGCAGACATGGATTAAACGAAGCATCGATGCAAAGAATTTTTGTCGAAGCATTTTGTTAATTGATTTTATCGATTTAATCGATAAATCGTTTCAGCCCTAAATTTTAGCTTTTGGGGTGTAGTTTATTCAAAATCTGTTTTAGATTTTCCTACTTATTATTCACAGATGTGGTAATAACAGTGTTCCAAAATTATGTGGAAATTCTTTATTGGAAAAGTTTTCTTGGGGCTTGACCACCAAACCCCCAACAAAAAAATACCATCTTAATTTTTTACATTATGCCGCCCTGTGAAAGCATGTTTTAATCCCCATGATCCCCATCTCTGCACTCACTCACACACACCTTTACCTCTGGTCTCTCACTGAAAACACATCGGCTTTCCCTGCCTCTCTCCCTGTCTACTCCCCTGAGTTTCTCCATCAGCAGTAGGTTGTGTTTTATAAAGTCTCCGAAAAGACACAGAACTCGTCATTTTTCTGAATTTTTTCATCTGTGATCCTTTTTAATGGCAGCAGGTGCGCTGAATGCCAGCCTGTTAATTACGTAGCTATTCAGTTTCATCATCCATCCTGGTGTTTCATTGTTGACATCGTCTGATGCCAGTTTTGTGGACATGACCCAACCCTAATTTGAATACATTTATTTACTTAGCAAGTAATTTTGTGACTGAATTTTCTTTGTACATTTTTTTTTTTTTGATGTCTTAAAAAGGTCTTAAAAAGTCTTAAATTTGACTTTGTGAAACCTGCAGAAACCCTGTGTAAGGGAGCACAAACGAAAAATCAGCATCTGACGAAAGGCAGTAGCATTGTTGATATACAGTATCGCATCTATGTCATTGAGGCATCTTCTACCTCACTGTCGCTGATTTCCTCCCCTGACAGGTTGCGGTGTGTGTGGTGTGCTATGGGGTGTCGGAGACGGTGTTCGGGGAGTGGAGTGTGATGGGCAGCACCATCATCCTGGTCCACTCGTACTATAATGTCTGGCTCAGAGCCCAGCTAGGCTGGCAGAGCTTCCTGCTCAGGAGGGATGCTGTAAACAAGATCAAAAGCCTCCCCACGGCTAGCAACACACAGCTGGAACAGTACAACGACATCTGTGCTATCTGCTACCAGGTATGCACTGGTTTGTGTTTATCTAAAGACAGTACATGGCCAAGAATTCATTAAAGCTAGGCTAATGTGAAATTTGATTTGATACATGTTTACATAGACCAGAGTGGTTTTGAAACAAATTAAACGTCAAAGGAAACCTAACAACACAGCCTGTTTTTGTGCTCATTCCCTCCAGGACATGAACAGTGCTGTGATCACTCCGTGTAGTCATTTCTTCCACGCTGGCTGTTTGAAGAAATGGCTTTATGTCCAGGAGACATGTCCCCTCTGCCACTCACAACTCAAGAGCCAATCACCAACCAGCACTGTCTCGAATCAAGACACCCCCGCAGCCAATCAGAACCCTGCAGGGCAGGAAGAAGCCACAGCAAATAAGAACCAGAAAGATGGTGCTCTTCCAGATGATAGGAAGGAGGAGGGAACAGTAGAGCAGGAGGGAGCTAATGGATCTGCCATGACAACTGGAGAATCCTCCTCCTCTTCCTCCTCCTCCTCCTCCTCCTGTGATGAGCCCTCGGCTCCCCAGAACCTGATTAAGACTCCACCATTATCTTCTTCTCCTTACCCACTGGTAACTGAATCAAAAAAACGGTCGCCCACAGATCATCCCTCATCGTCCTCCCCTCCCTCTGACACATTGGATATGCCCCCCTCTCCTGCATCTCTCTCCCCCTCCTCCACCCACACTATCACCTTCTCTCACTGCTCGTCCTCACAGCCACTGGACCAGGCAGAGGAGACCCCTGGTGAGCCTGAGCCCTCCCCTAAGCTAAACCCAGGCTTCCTACTGGACAGCCAGGAGACATCTACTGTTCCATCATCAGAGCCTGACCAGCCCACTTCCCCATCTGAGGAACAGTCTCCTCCTCCATGCAGCCTCTGAGCACCCCATTGTAAAACACGAGATGCATGCACTTGTAAACACAATCTAAATACTAGATCTGCCAATGTTCTGCCTATATTCTACTTGTCCAGCAGTTGGCGATCCCATCATGTCAGAAATTCAACTCTAAACCCTTCCATATCCGGATCTAAAATCCAAAACAATCTCTAAGCAGATATTCATCATTCACATTATAATGTGTTCATTAGGCAATTGTCTTGGAACTGTTTTCCAGAGTTTAACTTTCATGCCCACAATCATTTCATTAGGATGTGTATAACTATTTCCATGGGTTTTTTTTGGGGGGGGGGATTCAAAATCAACACAAAAAGGGGAACACATGAACTCATCTCAAAAATAATTGGTACTTCCATCAAATGTGAAATCCAGAATGAAACTGAAGTATCGCATCACTCATGTTTGCTGTTTTCTAGATTTTTTACATCAATATCAGACATTAATATAGTGACATTTCTGAAATCATGCTTTTTTTGTTTCTTTTTTTTTTTTTTTATCCCTTCTCATTTCAGGCCCAGACATTTCATGCGATGTTCGCTCCCATCCTGCCTTTGTTTGTTTCTTACATTTCATGGTATTTGGGTTTTCTCTGTAGTCCTGTATGTGCCATGATGTAATGAGGAATGGGTCAGAGGATTAGAGAGCCTTGGTCGTCTAGCTATGACTGATGGTTGCATTTTAAACAGTGACAAAGTCTTAATGTTTCATAAACATTTCTCCATCGGTTTTGATAAAGAGTCTTTGGTTTTCACTGTTGGATGACAGTGGTTTATGTGTATTAGTGAATCCACTAAGCATTAACAGACTGAATGTTGATCTTGAGGCCATCACATGACCTGAAGCCTGGTGCTAAGCACAGGATACATGGTGTGGTCTAGTTAAGTGTTGCAGTGTGAAGAAATCAGTGGTTTACATGGAGTAACCCGAATTTATTTAGTCTATCATACCACTTCAATATTTGAATCAAACTTGTTTGGCTGGTCCCAGCAAAAGCAGTTGTACTCCTCATCGCCAAACTTTTGTATTACTGTTAAAGAGATGTTATTTTTAAGATAATTTTTACATTACTCCTTTATTGGACAGCATAAAGTGCAGATGGACTGAAAACAATGCAGGGATAGAAAGAAGAGGGAGTTGACCTGCAACAGAGGCCACAGTTTGTATTTGAATCTTCAGCATTGTGAGAATGTGTGAGTGTAAATTAGCCCACAGAGCCGCCTAGGAGCCCAGACTTTGTGTTCTTAAGCTTTACTTCATTCATGGTACTCATCCGCACTCATCGTCCCAGACTCTGCTGATTTACAAACACATTCAACCAGTCCATCCAAAGTTTCAATTCCGCAATTGTTGACACGTTTTTTTAAAAGGCAGGAGCCAATCACCTGGCTTCATCCAGCTCCTTTATAAACCAATTGCATCAAAGCACCCTATGTTTTCTAAGATGATCATTATCCTCCAGCTGCTCAGTCACTTCACTCCATTAAATGTTACTACCAGCAGATTTAGCCGTTAGATTGTTGGCATTGTTTTGTTTTTCCCCCACATACACTCGCTTGCATGCGCGCTCACATACACACACACTCTCAGTTGGCTCCTGCGCTTAGTAAGAGACGCAGGGCTGTGAAAAGTGTGTAGAAAAGTCTGAGTGTTTAATAGAAAGACTTCAGAATGCTGAGTCCTGATGCACGCTTACATGTAGAGCTTGCACGCTACCAGTTACCATAGCATTGTTTTTGTCCCCAATGTGCTCTAACCTTGCTACCAATGTTTTTCTGCCATTTGTCTATTTTTTTTATTTCCTTTTTTTTGGGTTGCATTTGCACTAATGTCATTTATACTAGCAACGCTCCAAAGCCGTTCTGTGGCTGTAAGCCACCAAATACCCTCTGATGTGTTTGTGTACGAGGAAACAGCCCAATCTGTTAGTGTGTAATGTATATAAATGTTGCTCTGTATGGCATCTATATTAAACTAGAGGAGTGGTGATGTATAAATTAGATCCGGGCTTGACTTCTCCAAAGCTTCCTAGTGGTTTGATCTTCTTTGTTGCTTTACATGCCTGTAAACAAAGACAAACTTTTGTCTAAGAAGCTTTCGGGAAACGAGGCCTTGAGATCTGTGAGACCAGCCAGTGTTGTTGCATCTCCGGTCTGTATGACGCGACCTTAAGCTGGTGTGATCACTCTGGTGCCCTCTACTGTTAGGAGTGGGATCAGCATGGCGCAGACGGGCTGGAGATGCACTAGTTAACCCTCAACAGTATTACTTACTACCACTATTACTAAAGGTCTTATTACTATGAATGACTTTATTGTTGACATTGGAAAGTGTTGGCTGCAGGTCTGAGAATGAATACATAGTCAGTGTAGGATCCAACCTGGCCAATACTGTTTAACTGTTTGTCTTTTTGTTTGTTTTTTAAAGAGATGACATGTAGAGTTTGATGTATTTTGCACATGTTCCTCTGAAAGGTGAACATAAGGACTTTCTGTATTCTTGAAACGGTCACAAAAATTACTGCTTCATACACACTTGGTTTTCATTGTGGAGCATTTGAACTGTGTCATGCAGAGAGATCACCTGCGGGATAAAATGTCCCATGCTCCACAAGGTGATAGATGTCATTGGCAACTGTGTATGAATTTGCATTGCAGGATTAAATGATAACTGGCAGAGAAGCCTTCCAGCTGTTTATTCCAGATATATTTGCTCTGTTGATACTCCATGTTGGAGAAATGGCAGTTGTTGCAGTTACTCTACAGACAACAAATTTTTTTTTTCATAATGTCTGGGGCAGTTTTACATCAAATGTTTTAAAGGCAATCTAAGCTCAATATTTGACTATGTAACCTATTCATCTGACACCTGTAGAAAGCTTATGGACATTAAGCTTTTCTATCTTTATTTGCATTCCAGTGCATCTCTGAGATTTCCGGTGTGGAACTGACTTCATGCATCAAAATGCATCAGTGACTATTTAGGCTATTTGTGAACCAAACAAATGCACCAACCCTTCACTGCTGCTCCTTGCAGTGAGTGACATCACAGTAGCTCTTCCTGTCAGGAGCGTTAGTGTGTGTTAATATTGTAAAACGGTACCTTTGCCATCAATCCATGCACTGTACATGTCAGTTGACGTCAGATCAAATTATATTATTGCTCTTTATTGATAACACTGTAAGCCAATGTGTCAGTTTCCCAATATGATTGTATTATTTACTATTGAAATAGTTAAAAACTACTAGTGATGTATATTAATTTAAAATTGCCTCCTTTAACTTTGATTGAGTAACCAAGAGGAATATGAATATCTGCAGCTAGTATGATGGTCCCTGAAGTCAATGTCCCATCTGAAATCCAGGTGTTTCTGAGACTCTGAGTTTATCATAGTACATAAAATCATTTCAATATAACCTTGAAATTGTAAGCAAATATAATAATGGAATCTGTAGCTGCCACAGAGCTCTCTGCCCACATATTTCTTTACTGAATGCATTTTTAATGATTGTTTTGGAAAAGAAAACAGCACTGCTGTCCATTGCAGTTGCCTCTGACTAACACATGTCAGTTGATGTTCAGGGAAGCTCTGACTGAGACTCCCTACAGATCTTTGTTTGATTTTTTTTTTTTTTTTGACCTTTTTTTTTGTCTGATTACTTTTTCCTAAACACACACATTTAGGACCTGCTCTGTAAAACTCTGAATGCCAGTTGTATTCTGTTAAAATGCTCCATGGCTGGTTTTGGACTTTAGGCCTGGCATTGCCTTGGTTATTTTACAGAAATTGAATGTCAGAAATAAAATCAACCATCCACTCTGGACACAGCCTTTATTTTCTTTTAAATGCATGGATTTGCAATATATTTTGTAATTGTATGTATATACAGTGGTGCAGTGGTGTAGCACTTTTGTAGACATGTGAAGTGGTAATCAGTAATATATTAGTAGTAGTAGGCTTAGTGTTAAAATTTAGACTTCAAAAATAATACAGTAAAATATGACATATTATGCACTATACTATTAATACAATAAACCGTTCAGGACACACACACTGTAAATTTGATTCAAAATTTGAAGAAGTTAGAAGCATTCAGATAATATCTAGCAGCATTTTTGCACCGCATTAATAGGAGGGAGAACCTGGTGGCGAGATCGTTTATCAACATTCACGTAAAGAGAGACTCATTTAAATGAGAATAACCTATGAATATGTCAATGCATATATCTGACTTTGTTTATGGTGCAATCGATTCTATTTGCAACAGATTTGGTCTTGTTGTGCGTTCGTGCCCGTGTAGTGCGACGGGTCAGACACATGATGGCGCTGTTGAATTGTTTTTAGACTGAGTGGAAGTTGACCCGCCGCTGGAGACACAGGCCGAGGACCGTTTCTGCCACAGTACTGCAGGGACTCGTGCACAGGACTGAGTTTATACTGTTTTTTTGTGTGTTTTTTATTAATCTGTCATGTTGTTCCTGTTCTTTGTTGGGCGTGCATGTTTCTGTATTATTAGAGACCTTAATTATGCATTACTTTCTTCTTATTAGTTCTTTAATCCTGCTTTTGAAATCTCCAATATAACACTTCAATATTCATGTAGATGTTAGATGGCTCAAAGATGTGATGCTCAATCCAACTTCAACGTGACCTTTTTACACTAATGGCATGTGTCAAATGTAATTATTCTTACAGCCTCTTAAAATGAAAAAAACTCCTTTAGGATCTTAGATACATCTTCAGTGAGTCTGATCAAACTTAAATGAACACATCTGAAATAAATCGATAATATTCTCTAACAGATTAGTAATTCTAAAATAGGAGGCTTTTATTTTTGCAAGAAAATTCATTGACACCATGCAATTTCATGTCATTTGCGCAAATTTTAAGAATTACATTTAGGCTAACTGTATATGAGCTGGTATGCAGAGATAAATATCTTACTTCATATTTTTGAATAAACTAACACACGTGCTTTTATCAGATCGATCCAAACACCAGAGCCTCTCAACACTCATTCACATAGGACTATTTCTTTTCCTCAGCTGTGAACACGCTTGAATCCTATATGGGCTGACCCGCCGCGGTCTCTCTCTCCCTCTATAAGCAGGAAACTGGAGCATAAAAGACTCTTATTCTCCATAATCAAGGTCAAGAGCGTTTTTCAATAACCTTTGGGAATTAAACCCTGGATCGGCGCCAGTTCGCCCTGCCAATCATTTTCACAGCCAGTTGAATAACACAAAAGTTGCTGACCTTTTGCACTTCAGCAGATCAATACGCTGTAGATTTATTAAAAGGCTTCCACGGCATTATCTATTAATATTTGTATTTTGTTTTAGAGTCCCTCCCGGCGGCGTGATAAATAGTTTCAAATAACAGATGGTGCTAGAAGGAGAGACAAAGCAGCGAAATCTGGTAGCAATTATCCTCAATTATGTTCATTGTTATTTTGAGCTAATTATTGTTATTGTCACTTTTGTTTGGGAGTCTTGCGGCACTAGCCTGCAATAAGCGGGCCTACGGAAGACAATGGAGTAACATGGATATGTTGTGATGCTGAAATATGGCTTTTATAATTGAGCCCAACCAGTTGGTCTAAATAAAACTTAGATCTAAATGTAAAGGCTGAGGGTTCATAATTCATCATGTGTCTGCAGCTGAAATGAGTAATGGTCCTGGACTGTTTGATACGCAGAGATATCAGTTGTTCGTTCTTTAAATCGTAGTTTTAGAGGCAGTAAAACCTTCTTTGTGAGGCTCTAAGACCAAGATTTAATTTAGTTAATACGGTCGATTTTTTTTGCTGTGAGAAAGCTTTGAATAACCATTTGAAATACACATATAAGTTTTTATCTTGTCTTAAAATTTCCAACCAAAGGCTACAAAATTTAGACGTGTCTTTTTTGTTTCCTTATTTAATATTTCCATGATAATCTTAAAACACTGTGATAGCACTAGTGCCGCGCGTAAAAAGTAGATTTTTAAGATAATTAAGTCGTGATTGCCCTGCAGCCGAGAAATGTCCACTTCTTCCAGCATCATGGGCGCCAGTCTGCCGCCGACTCTGCTCTGCAAAAAGGAACTTTCTATTCGATTTCCAGTGTTGTGACGCTGCGCAAGAATTAAAAGTCCACATTTAATGGGAAGAGACGTTTTTGCAAAAGGACAGAGAGGGTTCCCGGACCGGGCAGGGGAGGATAGAGGGACCGAGGAGAGGAGCACTGTGGCCGCTGCATGTGGCGGACCTGACTCCACTCCCTCCTTTGTTTGGGGGCGTCTCCTCTCTTCTCCTCTCCTCCGGTCCTGTCCCCTCCCCTATCCTCCGGTCGCCTCCCCTCTCTCCTTTCCCATCTTAGCTCCCTCTCTCTCCCCCCGGGGCGGGAGAAGCCCGTGTTTGGTTCTCAAAGAGCGTCCTTTGGGAAGAGTCACAAAGCGTTTTTACCTCAGAGAGGGAGCGGCGTGGAGAGAGCTCGAGAGTTATCCGCAGGAAGCAGCGCTGCTCTGGACACCACAGACCCGGACCACAGGGCGGAGGGAGAAGAAGAGAAAGCAAAGAGCGAAAAGAGGAAGAAAGAAGTGTCAGATAGTGATGACATCCGATCTGGGTGATATTTGATCTCTCTTTTTTGTCTGACAGCTTGACCCGTGCATCTCCAGGCGCACCAGGAGTGACTTTAAACACCTTTTCGCACTGGGTCAGTCTGCGTCCTGCCGTCCTTCTGGCGTTCTAAATCCGTGTTTTAGGGGTTTGGGCATTTTGGGTCCTGCTGTTACGCTATGATTTACCCTCTGTTTTAGCACACATTCCTTCCTCGGGACTAGAATTGGAGTAATAAACATCCAACTGTTTGATTTCCAGCGAAGCGCACGCAGCAGCCGCAGCAAACAGCACACGCACGCTGCTCCTCTTGAATAAGAGTGAAGGATCTACAGGAGAACAAGTGCACAGCCAAGCGGGGAGAGACTGAGAAACAGAAGGACAGTCATCGAGCTTCGGAGGTTTGTTAATGTTTGGGATCCAGGAGAGCATCCAGAGAAGCGGCAGCAGCCTGAAGGAGGAGCCGCTGGGAGGCATGAACACTGTCCGGAGCTGGATGCAGGGGGGCGGCGTGCTGGACGCCAACACGGCCGCCCAAAGGTGAGCTCTACTCGGATGAAGGAGACACGCTACCGCCCTCCTTCATTTACAAAGAAACAACGAGGGTCCTAGCAGAGTTTTTCTGCCAGGACCCTGTAAAAGCCAGTGCAGGCCAAGCTGTGTTGATAGGAGATAAGCAGGCGAAGCTGCTGCCCTGAGGAAGAGTTTGGAATTTAACTGTTGCTAAAATAATTTGGCAAATTAAGATTCTTGTGCAGGATAGGCTATAATTTCCACACACAATGGATACCCTGTCAATTTTAAGACAACGTGCTAAACAGTTAATGGCAATATTTTTACGCCCATGAAACGTGCGCCTTCTGTCCGTAGTTGGCTGAGCATTAACGCAAAAGGATAAATAAATAAATCTCGTCCTATGCTTAGAGTTTAAAATAAGGGGGGGAAACTGCACGCCTTCCATCTTTTCTAAACATATTCATGGCTGTATTCGAGGGTAACAAAATTCCCCGCTTGGCCCACAGAGCCAGAGATTTAATGGATAATTCATGACGCCCAACATAAACAACTTTGATTATATTTTCAGAAAATAGAGGATTTTGGATTTATTTTTCATAAAATCGCCTCTTCTTGAAAAACAATGAGCAACAAAAGTCAGATCGAGAAAATAAAAATAATAAAATTATAATATTTTATATAATAAATAAAATTGTCCACATACTTATAGGTCCTCGTATATCTTTTTAATAAGTTACCTTTAAAAACTTTATAGCCTTTAACACTTTCTAACACCGACTCACCCACGCCTCTGTGTCCGCAGTGGAGTGGGTCTGGCCCGGGCTCACTTTGAGAAGCAGCCGCCCTCCAACCTGCGGAAGTCCAACTTCTTCCACTTCGTCCTGGCTCTGTACGACCGGCAGGGTCAGCCGGTGGAGATCGAGAGGACCAACTTCGTGGGCTTCATCGAGAAGGAGAAGGTCGGTGCACAAACTCACGGTGGTCTGATCATTGTTGAGATTATTATGCTGAGAGATTTACAATTTTGATTTTGTAAAGGCCTGATGATTCCACTGTGGTGTCTGAGATTACTGATATTAATGTTTAATGTCACATTTTAAACATATAGCCTATACACTAACTAATCAATACATTATTATTGTAATTGTTATTATTTTTGTATTATTATTATTGCTATAATAATAACAACCATCCTATTTTTATTTTTATTATTATTATGTAAAATATTTTAAATAAATTGGACACAGATGAAACGCCTAACCTAGGCCCCTATATGAATATATAGTTAACACATACTATTAAAACTCAAAAACGTTCTTCGATCTATTTCGTGCATTTGACAAATAGCCACCGTTTAAATAAGTTTTAATTTACAGCTGGATTCAAGACAACCACTTGTTCTATATAAACAGCGGCGGGGCAACCGTCTCCTCATCAATTATGACACCGTTTAAATGAGATGAAATGTAGCCGGAGAATTTAGTGTTGGCTTTTTTTTTGCCCTCCAAACATAACCAGTAATTACAGAGGAATTAAAAAGCCACAATAACACCATGATTACATGTGCAGAAATTACAGGGCAGCCCGCTTTAATATGTCCGCTGTGAACATAAATCACAAGTTTATGTGTGTTGGTGTGAAGTATTCAATAACTTGGATACCTATATACATGGGCTACTACCATACTGTATATTTATACACATTTACACACACACACACACACACACACACACTCTCTCTCTCTCTCTCTCTCTCTCTCTCTCTCTCTCTCTCTCTCTCCAGACATACATTTGTCCTAAAAATTTCAATAAACTTGAGTGTTTGTTGTGTGTGTTAAGGAGACAAGTGGAGAGAAGACCAATAACGGGATTCATTACCGGCTGCAGCTTCTTTACAGTAATGGTGAGCAAGGAGCCTGGCACACACACACACACACATACATACACGCTCATACACTTAGTCATAATACATTTCAAATCAGCTTGATTGCCTGTTGTCTCCTGTTTGTGCACACAGAAAGCAGCTGATATTTTCAGAAATTTGAGGTGGAAAAATGTGTACCAGAGGGCCATCAGGCTGCCAGAGTGCGTCCATGTCACATAAACTGCAGTGTAGAGTTTCACAGTTGTGTAATTTGACCAATTTCTGCATAAATGTCACCATTTCAGAGCAGCTGTTGTGGTGTATTTCCACCAGCTTTATGGCTTCATCACTGTCACTGTCCGTTTGTCCGGTCTGAAGTGGGCTCTGTGACAGTTTGATCTGTAGTCTGCTGGTTGCATGTTTTTGTGGTAGCTGTGGATTGTGGTACTGAGGTCTATAAGCATTCAGCACAATCTACAGCTGGGAGGGAAATGACATAAACTGACACAGAACCTCTGAGATGAAGACATGCGGTCATAATAGCTACTATTTGTAAACTGTAATTTTTGATTTTAATATAATTTGCATGTGGAAATGGACATACCAAACCATTTATCAGTGATATTGACTTTAAGGTGTAGACATTTAACATCAGTATGAACCATTAATGGGTGTCTAATGGGTTCTGGGTGTATGAATCCCAGTTTTATGGAACAGAGGTTCGAGGGTGTGTTGTACGAACTGTAAAGCCCTTTGAGGCAAATTTATGATTTTGGGATATCTAAATAAAATTGACTTGAGTCAGTTTATAGTAAAAACACCCAGATGTTGAGACACATTTATTTATGCTATAAGAGCTGGTAATCTGCACCACACACACACACACGCACACACACACATACACATTTGTTGTTCTTGCATGTGTGAGCAGTTCAGCACCAAAGCATGATTATTCCCACTCGGATTGTTTTACTTGACATTTTTCAAGGCCTAAAGAGATGCAGTTATTCAAGATTTTTCACAAGAAAAAAGTCTGACAAAATGCATTTCATTTTGTGTATCAGAAATACGTATTTAATTTTCTTGTGGCCCCTAATATTCGGGGAAGCTTCCTGTTGTGTGTCTATCACTTATGTTTACTTAATTTGACATATTTTTTTATGCAGTTTTGTATGTTGTTCTGCTTGTCTATGTAAAGTTTATGATGTTTCCCTTTTCTTCTGCATCCCAACAGGCATCAGAACAGAGCAGGACTTTTATGTTCGACTCATAGACTCCATGACTAAACAGGTAAACATGCATTTTAATACACACACACACACACACACACATACACACACACACACACTCTTTCTCACAGAGGTCTGTCACCTCTCCTGTTACGTCTCTAACAATGAGCTGCTCCACTGATCCGCCTGTACTCCGCCGCCCTCCTCTATCTGCAGGCACTTGCACACACCAAAATGTGCCTTTATATGTGTGTGTGTGTGTTCTGTGGGTGGGTGTTTCCGCTCTGTGTATGTGTGTGTGTGTGTGGGTGGGGGCACACACACACTGCATGGCTCCAGGCGTTTTTGCCTGTACTTCTCTTGCTGTGATTAGAGCGAGGAGGTAGCGAGCGGGTGTTGAGGAACAGGGGCGTAATTCTGCTGCTCACAGTTGGAAGTGGAAAGATGTAACAGCACCTCTGGGATTTGGTCTGCCGAGTAGCAAGCATTTCCTGATCAGATCCAATTTTTCTGTTAATGTTTGTGTTTTTGTTTGTATGTACCTTTGAGTGAGAGAGAGACAGAGAGCAGCAGGATGAGTTAGAAGTGAGAGAGGCAGACTGAACTACAGATAGAAGACAGACGGACACTTTTAGTGTTTGTGCTCAGTGTTTCTCAGGTAAACAGTTAGAATGAGGGAGCATTGTTATGTTTTTGCATAAGAAACAGAGAGCTTTCTATCTGATGTAATGCAGTGTGTGTGTGTGTGTATGTGTGTGGTTAGCAAGATATGAGGAGCCAAGATGTCATGCTATCCACATTTTGGGTGTGTGTTTGTGTGTGCGTGTGTGTCTGGCAGGCCTAAGGGACCACACTGTTTCCTAATAACACTGTTTAGCTTGAGCTTGGTGGGGTGACAGCCAGCTACACACACACACACACACACACACACGCATACGCTCTGTTAGCCCTTGCAGTGGAAGTTCAGAGAACAGAGAGGGAATTCTGACCTCCCTAACACACACACTTACACACAATTTCATGCTCGGCATTTTTTTAGCCAACATAAAAAGATTTGTAGTTTGAAAAGGTAAAGTCATTTTTCCTCAAGACCCTGATGCCGGCAGGTGTGTGCTGCACCTGTGGGCATCTGCCTGTGTGAGGGCTGGTGTGGGTGGGTGTGTGTGGGTATGAAAGTCTGTGTGGTAGTGGAGGGTTTATAGGTGAGTGAGAGGGGAGAGATGAACAAATGGGAAGCAGCGGAGGTATTTAGTGCTGTAAATGTATATGTATAGGCACTTAGGCAAAACTGCACATAGAGCAATAAAGCATGCTCAGCTGTGTGTGTGTGTGCGCGTGCGTGTGTGTGTGTGTGTGGTTCCCAGTGGTAGAGGGAATCGAAATACTAACAGGTGGTCAAACCAAAACAGCCGTGTGGCTGGCTTAGTTGGTCTGTGATGTCATGGCCACTGTCTGTCCAACCCCAACCACGCACGCACGCACGCACGCACGCACGCACGCACACTGCTGGTGTTCCACTCATTCTTTGTCATTGTTGTCTTACTAAAAAGCTACTCCACACTAAAGACTTTGCATTGGTGTCTATCTAATATTACGTTTTAGGTATTTTAATACATAACCAACAACCAAGCTTTTAATGTTTTCAGATGCTGGTGTTTTTGTTTGTTTTTTTTTAACTAAAACAATCCTATAGAGAGTTAAAGTGAAACTGGAACATCATCTTCTGATTCAGAAGTAAGAAAACGTTTACATTGGTAATAATAATTATTTCATATTTCTGGTGTTAGCAGCCTTTAACGAACACCATTTCCTACCAGCCAAATGCTGTCAAGGGTTTAATGTCACCAGCTTGACACACCAAGGCCGGTCAAGCAGCTGTGACTGTGAGAATGGTCTATAATTGCTGGCAACAATAGCATAACTTTGACCTATTTTGAAGAAAATCCTCAAAACACAGAAAGAGGTAGAGGTAAGGATAAGGATGAAACAGTTTAGATGATGTATCCTACGCTTTCTGCTGTGCTGGATATCCTCCGTGGATCATGATGGATTCAGATACTAATAGCAAGTGCTGAAAGTTCTCTTAGGACATAGATAGTGAACCCCAAGAATACATTTCACATTTTCATAAAGACCAATTCATTTCTGTCTACATGTGGCTCCATTTTAGATGGTCAAAAATTACAGATGGTACCTTTAAAGTGCAGACTTTCAGCTTAGGTTGTTTATCAATGTTGTTAAAGCTTGAAAATGCGTATTGGTACTCCTTTATTAAGCTCATATCAGGTTCTGTTTAGTTCACAGTTTAAAAAGGAAAGTAAAGCATGGCACCTAAAGCTGGTACTTATTTCTGTTGCCTTGCTGTTTCTATATGTCTTACTTTTTTGTGTGTGCGCTGAGAGGGCCAGCACTGGTTGTGTTTAATAAAGGAGGAGAGCGCCTCGGAGTCTTCAGAAGCAGCGGTTTTATCACGACTCCGTCCCGGAGAAGAAAGCATCTGTTACTGTGGCCCCGTCGGATCACTGGTTCACTAGTCGACCTGACACTGACGCAGGAGGAAGTGTGTTCCCCTTCCTTGTTTACACGCCACGCATGTCACGCTACTTTAAATGTGGAGGAGAGAGCAGCAGAGATGCTGTATGAAAGGCCTTATAAGGCGGAGAAAGGGAGGAGACAGAGGAGGGAAAAGGCAGATGAAAGACAAGAGCAGAGCAAGCGAGGTAGTGCTATGAAGAAGAAGCTGAGACAAACGTGGGCCAGAAGGGTAGAAGAAGTTACACACTCATGCAGGAGCCTGTCGCAGAAGGTGGAGGAAATATTATTTACAATTTATTCTCTGTGACCTCAGTTTAGTCACATGTTTCTGTGATTGGCAGCTTTTGATGATCCACAGTATTTGAGTCATCATGATGCAGTGAAGGACACCCCTCTTCATGTCCAAATAGGGTCAAAACAAGGCAAGGATTGTTAGACGCTGATTTTCAGAAATTCCTCTATATTTTTTGTTTTGAAAAAAAAAACAGTATGGTAGACTAAATAAGGATGTATTCACCTGGCCTGTGTGTGTGTGTGTGTGTGTGTGTGTGTGTGTGTGTGTGTGTGTGAGAGAGAGATAGATAGAGAGAGAGAGAGAACAAAGAGCAAAAGTGCAAAAAAGAGAGAGAAGACGAGAGAGGTTGACATTGATACATGTTTGTCCAGGGTAGGAAACAAGTTCAGAGGATGTTGCCTGACCCACTCTTTTCCCATGGCACAATGAGCAGGTCTTATCACAGGCAGAACTATAAACTTATAAAGTACATTTCCTCTTCAAATTCTCTCTGCTCCATCTTTTCCTACAGTTCCCACACTCACATTTGCTTTCATTAAGCCACAATCAAAGGAAAATATTACAGTTAGAGAAGCAGTTTCCAATGTTGTGGCTCTTGGATCAACCTCAGTGGTGTGTGAACGGGAGCTTCTTTGCTTTGGCCGTGGTCAGTTCAAATGTTCTCAGCATGGATATGTGTTTATTTTGCTCACTGGATAGATGCATTTGCCATCATGTCCTTCACCTTGAATAGCTTCTTCTGTAGAGCTGGCTCTTTTGGAAATGTTATCTTAGCGCTGTCTACCTGTAGCTCCACATTCTACTTTGAGATTAGACTAGTTTTGTTTCATATTACACACCTCACGCCTGCGATGACTGGCTGTGCACAACCCCAGTGTCCTGGACCACTTTAGGCTCCAGATTCATGTGTCGATACATTTTTTGCAGAGGTTTTACAACTGGAATGTATGCACATGCATGGAAAATTATAACTGACAGGGGCCCCGGGCCCTGAAACAAATGGGGGCTCCAATTCCAGAAAGCACAGAGGGTCCTGGTCCTGGAGACAGCTAGCTATTAGTATGAAATGCTTTAGGCTACAACAGTATTGTAATGGGGCCCTCAGACTCTACTGAGGACTATGTAGGGCTGTAGTCTCTACAAATGAGGGGCTCAGTCTACAGTCTCAGGTCATGCTGGGGCCCCATATGGAACATGCTCGCCCTGGGGCCCCTGGTGGGACAGTCCAAGCTCACACATGTGTGAGATTTTTTACAATATTATTCTTTAAAAAGGCCTCTCCTTTTTCATTTCTATTTAGTTTTTCACAAAACCTCTGTCAGTTCTTTGAGGCCAATTTTTTACAAATGTCAGACTTCTCCACTGTAATGCAAAGCTATATTGAGCCTTACTGAGTCTTGCAATTGAATGAATGGGATAAGATATAGATAACCTTCACCTGTGTTTTGTTTTTTTGTGTGAGGGATTTGTAAAAATGCTGTAGACCTAAAATGTAAAAGAGAAGAATCACAGGGGAAATGAAGCCAGTGATTCAAAGAGTTTTGCTTTTTCTGAGGTTTCCATGACCATCACAGGTCAGTTAGGTTTTCCCCATATGGCACCGGCACAAGTTGTTGCATGTTGTTAGAATTGTTCAGCTTTCCCTCGGCTGAATTACCTTCATTTACAACGTTCACTTGATAGCAACAGGGAGTCTGAACCCCAGCTGAAGACTATTAGACAGGACGGTGAAACTTCTTCACCGCTCCCTGAGAAAAGTGAGCTTGTCACTCGGTGAAACTTGCTGGAGCTCGGAACGACAGATCAAACAGACTGGAATAGACCAAAGACAGACAGGGCGTGTGTATTGATTGATAGATAGCTTAGTGGTGTGTGACTTGTGCGTTCACTTTATTCTGAGCTTCCTTACCAGAACCAGGGGTATTGTACAGTGGAAGCAGGTAGTAGCCTCAGCTGAAATGCTGTTTGAGGAGCAGAAACAGTGGCCAATGCTCTGTGAATACACAACTTTATTCTTTTTAAAGGGACAGCTCAGGTTTTTTGAAGTGTGGTTCTATGAGGTATTGATAGTCAGTGTATTTACCTGCAGTAGGTGGTGGTTGTGTAAACTGTATGCAGCAGTAGTACATCACTTAGCTTCCATGCCAGCACAACTTTCTGCTTATTCAAACTGGGGCCGTGCCGACTGCTGTCTACTGCAGCCACTATGCCTTAAACATTAGACTTCAGATTCACATGATCAGCATGTGAGCAGATGAGATGCAGTTGTTATTTTTTGATCTGAAACAACATGTGTGAACAAGGTGTGTGCAAGGTGATGACAGAGACAATGGGTGTGAGTGTGTTTATGTGAAGTGGAGGTGTTACTGCTGAACTACGTGTTGTTTGAAGTGAAGTGGGAATTAACCTGTTACCCTAACAACACCCTGCCAGTGCCATAACCTGATGGAAGAAAATAAATGTACACTACAGTATTTCTACCGGTTTGACATCACCGTTGTGTTTTCCCACAATCTAGTGCTGCAAAATATGGTCATCTCCTCTCACCAGTTTGGTAGTGCAGTGGTCTGGAAACATGCAAAATACGTTTTTATACATACGATGACTGGCATCTATCAGAGGGTCTGTTTGGCTGTTTTGTTGCCTCTTATGCAATTATGAACAACCTGCTTATGCTCAATCTGAATTCAAAAAAAGATGATTTAATGTTAGATATTATCTATCACAACTAATTTCCAGAAATGTTCCTGTAATCGGAGGACAAGGCTGGCGAAATTCTGTATTTCGGTCATTGTCAAGAAATTCTATGAAAAGCCACTTATTGTTACCTCCATTGTTGTGCTAAAAGTAACACATCAATGAGCCGCACTGCTCTGGGTGACATGTTGCTTCATTATGATAAGCACGGGCATGAGGTTATGAGTTCATCCCACATACACAATGTCCATGTGCCATAAATACTCACTTAGAGTGCCAAATGCATATTCATTCGCAGTTAAAAAGTCCTGTTTGAGGAACATCCGCTAAAAACGTCCAGCTCTTTTAGGGAATTACTTCAGGTATTTTGTTTTTACAAAACTATGTATTGCGCACAAATTTTGAAAAATGTACATTTTCACAGGGGTGTCCTGGTGGATAAGCCTTTAGAATTGAAGAACAGGATGACAACAATATATTCTGTTATTTTTTCTCCTCTTTATAATTGTATCACATTAATGTTGGCCTTTAAATAACAAAAACATCAAGACTTGTATATATCACACATCAAGTTGTTAAATTGCTAATAACACAGTGATCCTAAATCGAATAACTAACATACTTAATTTTGTTACCATAGCTGAAACCTTCTGAAGCACACTTGACCAGGATTTAGTGCTGTGCGTATTCTGTTTTGCTGTTGATGTGCTAACAATATACTTTCTTTTCCTTCCTACCTCTTGCTCTCTCACTTTACAGGCGATTGTTTATGAAGGCCAAGACAAGAACCCAGAGATGTGCCGAGTCCTGTTAACTCATGAGATCATGTGCAGGTGAGAATGGGTGCATCTATTTCCTCTTCCCAAATCTTCCTCCTGTCCTCTCTGTCTTCAGTCGTTCCAGCTTCTACTTTTCCTTCTACACCTACTCCTCTCCTCTCCTCTCCTCTCCTCTTTTCTTTTACAACATGCTTTGTTTGTCTGCAAAAAGTTCTCAGCAATCATGCTTCTGTACTCAGTACATTTCTTATTTTGTCACCCTCATTAACCCCCCCCCACACATACGCACCCAGACGCTTACATACGCATACACATGAAGCTATATCTGTTGAGGAAGATGAGTTTTAGCTATCAGAGTAGTTGCTTTAATTATAATCTAAAGATGAATTTCTTCGGAAGTAGGTTGGGAGGAAAGTTCTATTTATAGAGGCATTTCACAAACCTATCCTATACAATAGAAAATGTGTGTGTGTGGATGCATGCGGGGTGTGTGTGTGTGTGTGTGTGTGTGTGTGTGTGTGTGTGTGTGTGTGTGTGTCTGTGTGTGTGTGTGTGTCTGTGACGCCTGGTTAATTAGGACACAGAGAAACTCATTAGTCAATCTGAACCCTCCTGTTGTTTCATGGCTAACAAATGGGCCTTCCTTCACAATCTGACTATAAAATATAGGCAGGGTCTCACACACACAGACACACACACACACACACACACACACACACAAGACAAGACACAAAGAAGTATGCATATGCACGTTCACTCCACACACCACAGTTATAAAAATTCAAATTTAGCACATGAATTAAGTTGTTCTTATTCCCTGACCTTGTCACTGAACAACTTTAACTGTAACAATATAAATTGGGGTTCATCTATATGCACAAGCAGGGATTTTAGCTGTGAAATCAGGCACACTAATATTTTATTCTATAGCTCTCTGAATAATCTGGCAGTTCAGCTGCAGAGGTTTATAGAACAACCCATTGAAATTCTGATGTGACTTACAAGGAATTTATAAATAAATTGAATTTGGCAACAGATTTTATCGTAACTTATTGTTGTTTATCATGTGGGGAATGCATTCCATGTACAGTATAGATGAGCCTTTGATATTCAAACATTTCCTCTGTGGGAGCAACAGTGCAGCATCGGAGCAGAAAGTACGACTTCTGCAATGAGTGTAAACACTCGCTTGTCTGCAGCAGCAGCTGAGGTCAAAGTTACGGCTGTTGCCTCATGTTCTCACATGCTGATTCTGCAGCGGGGGCCTCACACACAACACGCAACGCAGAACAAAGAGCTCAGGGCGTCCATTAATCAGTGTGGCTCATTGTCATCGTGGGGCTATTAGCCATATGCTCCCAGCCAATCTGCCACCGCACAGACCTACATCGCAAACCACGAGCACATGAAAGGTTTTTCTCTAGAATGGATGATCGAGGCTACTGAACTGTTAGTATCGTCTGTTGAGTACAAATGTTGGCTTTAATGCATCTATCTGTATTTAACAAACAGTTGTTTTCTTTCCACTTAAGAATAAGAATAAGAATTAGAATATTAATAAAATCGATTTATATAGCGCTTTTCTACTAACAGTAGTTTCTGTATCAGCTTGTTCCAGTTCTTTATTGAAGCTAAATGATGTTAACACTGAGTGAAATATCCACATGGTTTTCCGTTCTGTCAAATGGAAGTATTTGAGGTGTTTTGTGCATTATTTTAAATCCCTTCAGCCTGACATATTTGGTTTCTTTGGAAACTTTTGGATCTCCAATACAATTTTAAATAAAGTTCTATGAGTTCGAACAATGTTTGGGTGCACACATTTGTAATGACTGACCAGCAGTGGATGAAGGGATTTAAAAATGTAGATGAGAAATGATGGAGCAAATATTTTACTTGCAGCTAGTGCTTCTTGAAAATGTGGACTACTTTCATATTGAAATGCTGGATATCTCATTAGGGAATGATACTCAAAGATAGACTAATTTATTATAGTTTTTTTATGAAATGACAACACAACTTATGAACAAATGCAGATGAAAATTTAAGCTCAAATAAGGGAACCTTTACTGGCCTTGACCGAGAGAGTCAAACATCCAGGCAAGACAGCTAACTACTAACGATTATGTTCATTATCGATTAATCTGTCTATTTTGATGATTAATCAATTAACCATGCGGCCTACTCAAATTTAGATGCTGGAATCTGTGAATTTTTGTCATTTTCCCTTGATAAATGATGTGAATGATTGATTTTTCTATTGATTAATTACAACAAAATAATAAATTCCATTGTTTATTACTTATTTTCACATAAAGAACAGGTGAAAATGACACCTCCACTTCATACTATTGAGACGCTGCTGTTTAAAAGTGTGTGTGTGTGCGTGTGTGCGTGCGTGCGTGCGTGCGTGCATGAGTTGGGAGGAGGGGAGGCAGGAGGAGACCAGATGATTAGATCACCAGGATCCAGAGCAATACGTGCTACATTACCCCATCCCGCCCCTCGTTTTCCTTCCCACTACCCCTCCATTTATAACATCTTCCACTCTGCTCTCTTCTCCTCCTCCTCTGCTGTCCTCCCTTAATCTCCTCTCCTCATTTACCCGCCCCCCACACCCTCACCCATCCTTCCCTCCCTCCCTCCTCTGGCTTATAGCTTTCCTCTTTTCCCGTGCTCCCCATTTTCCCATTCTTTTATCTCCCCTTTTCCTCCTCTGCTCTGTTCTCCAACCGGGACCACGAAGTGACCCAGTTCATAGAGCAGCAGAAAGAGAGGCAGTGCTGCAGATAGTGGAGACAATGTGTAAGGTGTAACGTATCAGCCTCTTTCTTTCCACCTCTGCCATCTGTGACGATGGGAAACCTGAGACGTCTCCCCTTCCTCTTCTTCCCACCCTCTTGTTTTAGCTTTCCCTCCCACGCTCACCCTTTCACTCTTCCCCACCGGCTTTATCCTTCCACTCCTGCTCTCACATTTATTCATAATTGATGCACGCAAAAAAGGTTTGACAGACTTGTTGTACATATGTGTGAATTTTGGTGTGCATGCCAGGTATTTTTTTTACTTACTCGTGTGTGAGTGTGTATCCCACCCACTCCTCTTCTGAGCCTCCGGCCTCCAATCCTCTCCACCCTCCACCTCACCTGTTCATCAGTAAAATTAGAAGAGAGTGAAAGTTGTCATGTATTGTGCATGGCAAGTATTCTCGCAACTAGACTGAGTCTTTAGGAATTCAGAACTATAGAATGTGTTGCTGCAGATCTAAAACAAGTACACACCGTTTCCAGGAAGATTGTCCTGTTGGTCATCTTATTCATGAGGCAATGAGAACATAACATTAAAATGATCTCTGTGTCTGTTATTCACTGTTATTTATGACATTATTTCCAAGCAAATTGTTTAACGCTTAAGGGACAGTTAACTGATTTAGTATTACACTTACATAAAGTCGGAGGACTAACAAGAGACATGTTATATAAAGAATGTTTCTTATATGGATTAAGATTCATAAATGTTGTATCCTACATGTCCCAAAATGCAACTTCCATGAGACACTCCCTGCTTGGTAAATTCCTTTGCCTATCAAACTCCACTTCCCATACTTTTAAACACAAGGCATCGGCTCCAAGTCTCCAAGCACAATGTCAAATGACCCTAATGACATCACTATGACATCATCAGGTGGCTATTTTCTCCGATGTTACAAAGCTGCTGTAGAGCCACAGAAGATGTTTTGTTGACCCATCTGTCCACCCTCCTCCCTCAGTCATAATTATGACTACAGGGCAAGAAATGCTGTTTTGGGGCACTTGCTGAAACAACTAATTGTGTCGTTTCACTTTGGACGACAGTGTGACTGCACAAGCAACACTTTGATTGATTATTGGTCGGGGCCATTTGGGCAAAGGAGGGTTGGGATCTGGGGTGCACCTGACGCTGGCCGGTGTGAACATCCAAGGGCCCATGGACGTGTTAATGATATATTTGTTTTAAAATGTAAGAAAGAGCCAGTCAACTCACTATCAGTGTTTCATCACAAATGGCTCCCCTAAAAAGTGTATTTAATGTCATATAAGTCTGATTTTGTCCATGCTGTTAGTGTAGACAGATTTGAATAATTTTTATATCAGTGTAGACAAAACACACAATTTGCTCCAACACTTTGAACTTTTATGTTCCCTGTGTCTTACTCTTTTTCAACTTTGTCTTCTTCTTCTATTGTCTTTCCTTCTCATAGTCGGTGCTGTGACAAGAAGAGCTGCGGAAACCGTAATGAGACGCCCTCAGACCCTGTTATCATCGACAGGTACTGTCTATCACTTCTCCTCTATCTTTCTCTCTCCTACGCGCACACACACACACACACACACACACACACTGGATGAAGGACTGTGTTGACCAGTTTGAATGGCAGTGCGTGGCGGGATGTTTGTGTGTTTCGATGATCTCCTGTCACTCCTTAAATAGATGCTCCCTAGATAGGATCGATGGCTTCTGATGAAGACAGAGTGAAGCATTTTGAGACGGAATCATAGCATTTATGAGTCAAACAGCAGGACTCATAAATGTGTTTTGAATTGCTGAAAGTAGCAGCAATTCAACTAAAGCACCACACACAAACACACACGTTTCATTTACACGCGCACTTCAGTAATGTATTCATTGACCTGTGCAGAGGGGACATAAATGCACATCAGCCGCTCAGTTACTACCTCATATCTGGCAGATTCAGGCACATGCACACACACACACACACACACACTGATGCACATCTTCAGACTTGAGTGAACAAACAGTGCACAGATGAGTGTGTGTTTCCTCTACTTAATGCAAAACACAGAGCTGTTGACTAGCAGAAGCTGTCTGCCGTTTTTGCTGCCACTTTTTTCCCTACCTGTCTCTCTCTTTCTTTCTTCTTCCTGTCTCTCTGTCGAAGTAGAGGACTGAAGTTATCCCTCCCTTACCCACCCCTCCACCCCCCCACCCCTTCTCTCCTGCAGCAGCAGAGAAAAATGGGTCATGAGTAAAGAAAAAAGTGACAGAGAAAAACTGAAATGAGATCCAACCTCATTTTAATCTGATTTCTTCCTGGCATTTGTTTTAACCCTCTGTGAGCAGGTTTTTCTGCGTGCACGTCTGCGTGTGTTTGGAAGAGCAATTCACAGAGAGTGCAGTCAACGTGTGTCGAACTTTCACGACATTATTAGAAAACCTCGTAATATCTTTTTTGTAAACCAGAAGAAGGTAAAACCCACCATAACTCACTTTGCAAAATATAGAATTATGGAAACATAAGTAAAATTTTAATGAGATTACATCAAATATCACACAGTATGACCTAATATAGGGTAAAAATTGATGATCATGTGAAACTATTTAGTAATATAGAAAATAATCACATCACTTTGGGAGTGAAAACCTTTTCTTCACGACTACTACAAACTATGTACGTACCTGTCCAATACTCTGGTATTTTTAGTGACTCTCATGGTTATCAAATCTAGCCTTAGCATAGCTAGTTTTGAGGATATATGCTTTTCACTTCAATTCAATGATTACACATTTTGGACTATGAGTAAAGATGTTTTTTTGACTTCTTACAAACTCCATTTAACAAATTACATTGTTACCAAGATATAAAAGTCTATTATCAGTTTCTGATTCGTGGCGTTTTGGTGGGGAGGTGTAAGGTTTTAACATCAAAGCAATTATTTAGGACTGTTTTGACAGTTGAGACAGCCTTTAGAAGTATTCTTACTTTGACTTCCACCAAAGACCACAAAAGAAACACATGTTTAAGGTAGCGTAACACCTTTTACTAGGGTCATATATGCATGGACTGGTGTTTTATGTAATTTTTATCACATCAAATTCAGTTAAATCAAATCAAATAACCAAGAAAAATATCACAGTAGTTTGTC